AGTTTCGAAATCCAGTTTTTGGCAATATGTTATATAGATTTTATTAAGGGATTGAATCAAAATTGAAATCGAGTTCTTTTATTTTCATTATTAAGGTGTTCATTGGAATATTAGGGGAAAGCTTCGAAATCTAGTTTTTTGCAATATTTCATATGTAGATTTTAATAAGGGATTTCAACAAGTTTGAAATCGAGTTCTTTCATTTTTATTATTAGGGTTTTTCATTGACATATTAGGCGAAAGCTTCGAAATCCAGTTTTTGGCAATATTATATATATATATTTTTTTTAATGGTGGATTTAATCAAATTTGAAATATTTTTTTAATTCTTATTATTAAGGTTTTTCATCGGGATATTAGGGGCAACCGAATACACAATACCCCCTAATAATAAACATAGATCACTGATCACTGTGTTTACCATGGGGGGGAGTGTTTTAGTAATAGGGAGAGAGGATTATCAAAGGCAACAGCCTGCTGCTAGAGGGGGTATTGCCATCCAAATTTCATGGGTGTCTGACGTGTCTTACTGGATTTACCAAGCAGTACGTCTTCGATTCAAAAAGTGCAGGGCCGGAACAATGGAGCAAACTGCAAACACAACTACTCAGCGGCACTGGTGGGACATTGGGAAATAGAAAACAATTCCCTATAACAAAACTGGCTTCCAGAATCCGTCTTCAGTCAAACACAGTGAATGTTTCTTTCCTCGGGGCGTTCATAAAAAGGGGGGACCCGGAAATCATCCAAGCATTCCGCGCTATTGGTTCCGTTTCATCGGGAAAGCACTGGTTTTGTGGTCAATCTGGGCCACAGATCCAAGATGATCGAAGTAATTATATTCCTGCGCTAAACACACAGAAAGATGTGAAAAAGCCTTGGGAAGCTCCTTAAAGGAACGTTATCTACATTCATGGTGGGGAAAACCATGATGTTTACAGGACCTCAGGAGGGTCATCAAAGTGTCAGGTCCCATTTTTTCCCTTGGACCTTCTTGTCCCAAATCTGCAGGGGCTTGCTACCGATGGAGTAGAGGATGGACAAGAAGCCCGACTGATACGTATTCTTGAACCTAGCGCTGAAGCAACCCAAACTTCAACGAGAGCAAACGATATGTTGGACATTTTTGGACTATAGCCTATAGCCTCTACAGGGTGACAAAGCACTTGTATCACGTGGTCTGTTTTGATCAATTGCACGACGCAGCAAGTAGTTCATTTTACACAAAGATATATATATATATATATGATAATAGTTAAGTATATATATATATATATCCTTATCACCTCTTCTTCCAGCACCATTTTTACGCCGCTCCCTGCTTTCGCAACTGAGCGCCGGGCATTTTCTGTCGGAGTTGGGAACTGCTCAGCCCAGCCGAACGTTCCGCGTGCCCGGGAAGCGACCAAAATTCAGGCTGCAGATGGCCGGATGGAGATGCAACCATACAGAAGGGCATTGAAATTATTGGGGGGGTAGCTGATCAATGGCCATTCCAGGATCCTAAATTGGAGGTACCTACCATAAGGCCTAAACTTCAAGGAATATCCCCACAATTCATATGACCCAAAATATGGTACAGTACCTCCATTTTAGGATCCTGGAATTCCCATTGAGCTGATGTACTTTTTCATCTACGAAACCAGCTACGGAGGGCATAGTGAACCACTGGTGGTTGAGCCATCCCTTTCACAGGACAGTCTCATCCTTCGCACTTTTGGCGATGGACACACGGAAAATCACATCAAAACAATGACATCGTTTCGCCAGCTGGAGCTTACGTGTTTCAAGTGTTTCAACTGACAAACACATATATTTGTGTGTTTTCCAATTTTTGACTGGAAAACTATAGGCAGAATCCAACCGCAACACCACACGTGTTTAAGAGCCTTGCAGACTGTAGGATGATTCTGGAATGTTTCCGCTAGTTGAAAGGGATGTGTCCCAACTCTGAGTGGCTCCAGCCATTTCCAGCACAGATGTGACACTCCAGCCATTTGCTTCGTCCCATATTTTTCTGCACCTCGGGTGACCGATGAAAATCATGTAGCATATCAAAGCACCACATCAACCATCCACTTTTCAGCTCCTCTAAACGCTGTTGGAGCTCTGAAATCTCCGGACCTGGGGCTCGGCTTCAGAATCATTTCGGCCATCGTCGATACATGGAGGTTTTTTTGGCTCGGAAATTGTTTTCGATCGATATGATCAATGGCTGGTGGAAACAAACATCTGGAACTCACTGGAGAATTTTCACTTGCCATGTTTGATTCCTTGCTGGAAAATCTCACCCGGATTTCCGGGTGGTTGTTGATACCTAAATCTCATGGGTTTCGTGACCATTTTCCCTTCATAAGAACCTTGATGATCTCGGTGGAACGTCGGCATATCTCAACCATAGGTATAGATTCAATTCCAACAAATAAGACACATATGTTTAAGATTGTTTATACAGTAAGTAAACTAACGCAAAAAAATAGGAAACATATGCAAACGACTGACTCAAGAAACAGGAAACCCAAATGTAAATAGAAACACATGTACAACTGACCGTGATGTGAAATTTTATTTTACACAAATTGGAATTCTGCATGTTTTTTCTTGGTTGCGACTACTATAGGCAGAAGTGTTCCCATCTTTTGCCCTGGAAGGGAAAACTCTGCCAACCCCAAGTTTCTAGTATAAACATGTATTTGGTTGGGGGTTTCAGTCCTCTGAAACATATGAAAGTCAGTTGGGATGATTAATTATTCCCAACTGAATGGAAAGTCATAAAATTCATGTTCCAAACCACCAAGCAGTGTCTTTGCTTCCTATACCCATATCGGGCCATATCGCCAACAGATCCATGGCATTTCCCAAAGTTTTCAGGATCTCGGCACTAAGGATTGAACCCTCCGCATCGAACTTGAGCTGTTTCAGAACCTTTCGATATGGGAAATGATGGGCGTAGATTGTGGATATTTTATAGGGATAGAATGGGTAGAATGGGAATCTTATGACATGGGGATACAATCAGATGGGGATAAAAAACAAAAAAATGATTTGGGGATGACCAATCAGAGGGGAAAAAACGGATTCCGATGGCTTTTCATCATGTTATGTTCTTCATTCAGAACATGTAATTTCAGGGGTGTAGCCTATTTTCGGACAAACCACGTCGTTCCCTCAAGATGCCGCAAAACAATGCCAGTTGACATGTGCCCAGCACAGTGACAACCAAAAACAAGGTCTGGGAGATACTGGATGTAGGTGGATGTAGGTGGTAACCGATAGTAACCATCTATGGCGACAAACATGACGTTGTACTGAAGCCTAAGCCTACCCTTAAGAAAAAGCTTGAGGATAATCAAACATAGCGAGCTGGAGAATCCACGTGTCGCACTTTCCGACATGATGAAACCGTCCTGACTTTGAGTTCGGGGATTTTCCAGCCATGTCTTGATGACACCGGAGGGTATCATTGCTTACAGCATATACACCCCTTATATCCTATTTAAGATGGTCATTTCCTCCCTCAAATCTGGCTGAATTGGAAAATGACGGTCACCATCTTGGCCGAAAACTTGGAGTGATTGGCCGTAAACCCAATGCCAACAAGTTCCCAACTTTGGAGGGTTTAATACTCTACTGCTTGGTGGTTGAGCCCTACCCCTCTGAAAAATATGAGTGAACGTCAGTTGGGATGATTAATTATTCCCAACTGAATGGAAAGTCATAAAATTCATGTTCCAAACCGCCCACCAGTTTATAGAACCCATTTCTGTAGTATGGCATTGGTTTTAAATGGTTTTAATTACCACATTATTCCCCGACTACATAATCACCATGAATCCCCATAATGTGAAAACTTATAATTTAAAAACAACACATTATATAATCATTCCCATTGCCCTAATACAAAAACAAACCCTATTTCCATGTGGTTATTTAACATAGTTTCGGAAGCCATGGCCCATTCAGTTCCACCGTTCAATAAAATTTACCGTTTTCAACACTAATTTTGTTCCATATCTATGCAGCGAAATCCAAAAGGATAATAAACAATAGTCATTATTCATACTTGTTTTTTGTCTGTTGTTTTTCCCTATCAATTCCCATCAGTAAATGATTGATTAAACTATTAGTTAAAAACAATTCGCTTTGTCGAAATTCCGGGAGAATTTCCGCCGACGCTGAAAATCCTCTGGTTCATCCATGATGGCTACATATTTTTACAATGTTGGTAAAACATCAGTCATCAGCATTTTTATGTGGTACACATATATATAATATATAATACATATATATATATACATATGATACATATGTATATATATATAATTATACACCCCATTCCCTATACACCATTCCCAGTCACGAGTGGTTTATGACATTGTTTTACCCACATTAACCAACAACGCTTGCTTGGGGGGTTACTATTCCTGATTTTGATATGTGATAGCTATCGGATGCTATTGGTAACCCAATAAGAAAGCAAAGTCTCAGTAATAAACCAAAATCCGTTCCCCAGTCATCGCCATTTTTTAATAGGTGGTATGTTTACCATTCCCAGTCATGGGTGGATTATCATTCCCAGTCATGGGTGGTGGCATTGCTGTTCCCACACGGTCCCTGTAAGTTGGGAGCCAGGTCACAGGCGAGGTGTCCAGAGACGATCGGCCTTGGTTTTTTCGAAGCAGCTAACGTTGAACCAAATATCTCCAGAGCTGAGAATACCTAGCCATACCTAGCCATACCTAGCCATACCTAGCCATACCTAGCCATACCTAGCCTAGATATCTTCAACTTCTTTAATCTTTTGTTGGTGTGTAGTTGTTTGTGCTTGTGTAGCCGGTGGATGTCTCACCGTTCACCCAGATTTTCACAGCAGGGCTTCATCTTTTTTCCAGCGCTTCGGTCTGAGAAAGGGAGCTATGTGTTCCATAGCTCTCTACATTGAGGCCCCCGAACGATAGCTCAGTTGGTTTATAACTCCAATAACTATGGTTTATGGTATTTATAACTATAGTTACTGGGGCTTATAAACCAACTTATAACTGGGGGGCCTCACATTGTAGATCCATTCACTCTCAAGTTTTCCTGAAGTGACCACAAAATCACAATGTGTTCTTTCCAGCTCGGGGCAAAATGCAGTCTGTAGAGTCTGCAGCTGACACTTGGGGCATGGAAACTGAAGGATTCCTTTCTCCTGACGATAAGTTTTCTCCTTTTCCAGCAGGCAGTAGGTATGCACCACACCACAGCATGGCAGCTGGCGACATGGATCCTCTGACGTGACATCTTCCAAACAAATGACACAAACCTCTGGTTTTCCGGTGGTCAGATCGTCATCTTGGCCCTCCGGACCACAGCGGAAAGGTATTGCCGAACGAAGTAGTGCGAAGCAGGTGAAAATAATCGCCAGTAGTAAGATTGTCACCCAGTCCATGGCATGGTTTTGGCCTGGTTTGGGGATGAGGTTTTCCACTCCTGGTGGAGCCTATTGAAAAGGATCAACAAATCATCTGAAGTAAACTGTATACAAAGGATCAACATGACATGCCCGATCTATGACATACCAAGTGCAGAAAGAAACAGTACTTAATTTCTTTGCCGCCTTTCCATTCAGCAGGCTTCCCGCGAGTCAAACCTTTCGCCCGAGCCGCCCAACGGCTGCAGCAGCCATGGAATCCATGAAATCCCATTGAATCATACTACCCTCTGGTAATTTGTCAAAATAGCTATTGAAAATGGCCCAGTCGAAATAGTGGATTTACCCATTGATAGCATGGTGATTTTCCATAGTTGTGTAAACGTTTACCAGAGGGTAAATCCAGATGTGTTGACCAGTCAAATCCCATTCAACAAATTCCAGAGACTGCAGATTGGGTTGCTCTTAACCCGAGCCTGGACCTCAAAAAAATGTGTTTTTATGTTTGGCATGCAAATTGGCTAAAAATCATATGGTCATCCATCCTATGCCATGGGAATCCCAACATCAGGGGTATATAAATGCCGCCTAAATATATATATATATAAATATATATACAATGTGAGGCCCCCAAGATAGCTAAGTTGGTTTATAACTCCAATAACTATGGTTTATGGTACTTATAACTATAGTTACTGGGGCTTGTAAACCAACTTATAACTGGGGGGCCTCACATTGTATATATATATATATAGAAATTACTTTTTCTAAATGGGTTGATGATCATCCCCCCAATATGGGTTAATCCAGTCCAACTTTGCCGCAGGTCCATTGCCATCTCCAATGACTTCCTTGTTGCCGATTGCCCCGGTGCTATCGATTTCACGATAAGCCCACGTTTGCCGAAGCCTGTATACCACGTTTTTTGTCTGCTAGAGTGCTAGAGAACTTACCAACCAACATTGATACTATCGCAAAAAAGTGGAAAACTTCCCTGAGCCCCTCCCGGCGTCAACATTTTTGACTCAGAACCATGGTCTTTCCTGATGTCATAGAATTTCCCATAGAGCTTTGTCTGAAAGTTGGGAATTTTCCATGGAATTTTCGATCTGCATCCTTGCCTCGGTAACATTCTGGAAGCTGGTCCCCTCTGGTCATGTGGGTTTATACCCTCATATAACTATAGTATACCATAGGTATACTCATGTATACGATATATGCAGCATAAACCCAACAATTATGGAATATAGAGGTATCGTCTTTCCCAATTTCTCAACTTCACAGAGATCAACTGGTTGGTGGTATACCTACCCCTCTGAAAAATGATGGAGTTCGTCAGTTGGGATGATTTTTCCATTCCCAATATGATGGAAAGTCATCCAAAATTCCATGGTTCCAGTCACCACCAGTCAAGTATAGATCCTATAGATCCTTGATGAAATCATCATTTTCCTTGATGGAATCCCAAGTGCCCAGGGGCCCTGTTCCCCCTCTGTTTGGATGGCGCGGCAGCAAGGGCCTTTTTGTTCTTTCCTCGCTCAACGAAACTCCACCGGGACCTGGCGGAAAACTGGAGCCTGGCACCCCCAGGAGATCCCGACCTACCTCAATCTCAGGTCGGAAGTCGGACATTGTTACAGGAGATAGTCATCTAGTATTCATAGTGTCAAAATATCTACCCTCTGGTTATGACTAACATAGCCATGGAAAATGAATGAACATGGACCATAGAAATAGATGGTTTACCCATTAATAGCATGGTGATTTTCCATGGCTATGTTAGTCATAACCAGATGGTAACATCACCAGCGAGTATGGGGCTGACCGTATTCCCCATTGCTTGTCATCTCTAAGGCCCTACGTAGTATCGCGCCACTGCGAGAATGGCTTGAAACTGCCGTTGGCAGGTCACAGACAGGTGACAACCCCCCTGTAATAACGATATTTTGGTGGCTGCTCATGAGAAACAACAGCTCAGGTCATAACATGATGACGCCCATCAAGAAAAAAAACAATGAACCCCAACATGGCAAGCCGGTTAGCTTGATCATTGGGTCAACCATTGCCTCAGCATTTCGTCCCCTTCCAAAAATGTCAGCCTCTCCTAGGAACAAACATCACATGAGCTGTAGGCAGCCTGAAGTCATACCACTGAAATGGCCAATTTTTGATTTATGTTGACATGTTCAATAGATCTATACATCAGAAACCCACTTACAGAATCATAGAGAGTGTACACCCATGTACACCCATCTATCAATGCCATAAGCGCTCTTCTTGGACCTGGTCCAATCATTGGGGTAATAAAAAGGATACAACTTGGGATTCCGGATTTCAAAACATATATTTGCACATGTTGGAATTCACAAATCCAAAAAAACACCACCGAAATCGAACATCTACAGTATACCCCCCTACGGCCATCTCCAAGTCAAATCATCTGAGCCATTAAACATACCACTATCCCATCTCATGAAATACCAGTTGGTTGAAAACGGTTTCCCAATCCTATGGCCTATCATCATCCCCAGTAAATTCTGTATAGTGCAAGTCCCTAGTTCGTATCCAATCAAAAAGGCTCTAACTTTCATTGCTCATCTTCCCCCCAAATGGATGTTTCCGAAGTCATGGGGGTAGCCCGACTTATCATTCATTTGATTTTCGGATTTAAGGAAATCAACCGTCCAGCTATTGGAACCCCCCCAATGATTATCTGGTTGGTGGTATACCTACCCCTCTGAAAAATATATTCGTTCGTCAGTTGGGATGAACATTCCCAACAATCAATATATGGAAAGTTATGAAATTCATGTTCCAAACCACCAACCAGTTATGGAACTCCCCAAACCCGTCAGCCCGTGGCACCACCTCCTCCTTCTTCGCTTCCGACGGCTCCTTCTTCGGCCGCAATTTCTCCACCACCGGCAGCAGCTGCGGAAAACGTTCGCAGTACGGCGCCAGCAGGGCACCTTGCGGTCCAGCGGAAACGAAAAAAGGGTGAAGTTTGGGAAAAAAACATGGATTGGATGGTGGTTGACCTACCCCTCTGAAAAATATGAGTTCGTCAGTGGGGATGATGACTTTCCCAATATATGGAAAATCATAAAAAAATGTTCCAAACCACCAATCAGCATGGATTGGAGTTTCCAGAAAATGGAACTGGTGAGTCAATCAATGGGAAATTGCTATAGTTGATTAAAATTTGATTGAAGTTCGATGTAAGTTTCTTGAGACAAAGCCTAGAAAAACACCTGAGAGCAACGTGCACCATGATTCTTGCTTGGTCACTCCGCCTTTGTTTGTGGCTTCCTGTCCTTGACCCTTGCCAATGTTTCTCCAGCATGCGAAAACATTGAACATCAAATTCAATAAAACGAACATCGTAAGTAGATAGAATAGACAAGAATATAGAACAACAACTACCTTGACCCTAAATGTACCCCAAACAATGCAACATAATGCACACATCTATAAATGTCATTAGGTGGTCAAATACCCATGTGAACAAGTAAATTGAGGATCTAGATACGAGGATCTTGACCAAGAAATCCGGGAATTCAAGATACTTCAGAGCTTCGGGGTAAGGCATCATGTCACACTGCTACATTGCTACATACTTTTGAGCGTGGTACACACCCGTTTTTACCTCCTGCAAACACCCCAAAAATGAACAGCCCACTTGGGATCTTGACCAGCCCAATTCAAGTCTAGAATGTTGAGGTAAAACCAACAACATTTTTTGTACAACACTTCTGTCTCTTAGCATCATTTGGTGCTCCCCCCAACAAAACGTGTTATCGGAGATCGTCATGCCAAATGTTGGAATGGACAATAAAACAAGGATTTGAAATCAGCAAATCTCCCAAGTTTTCAGATAAAATCCCCATTTCGCTGGGTTAATCTTCCCAAGCGTTCCCTTGTCTTCTGGCACTTGGGTTTGCCAAAAACTATACCGCACAATTTCATGTTTCAACAATGTTCATCATCATTTTCCGCATTGCCATTGATTATGATGATGAAATGAACATTGCCATTTCATCAAAATTTTCCGCATCATTTATATATCATCATTTAAATGCTCATCATTGGTTTATCATAATTTTCACTATCACAATTGCATCAAAGGGTAGAGGGATCAAAACACAAATATTATTGGGATCAAAAAAACGATTCCCCATTTTTTTTTCCGGCCATGGTCGCTAAAGCGTCCGTGGGCCGGCACTGCGACAGCTTAAAATTGTCGTGCGAGAGCCGTTTGGTGGATTCGCCTGTTTTGCTCGTCCGTGTTTAAATAGTCCGTCCATCCGTTTGTAAGTTTGTTCCAAATATGTTTATGGGTGAAGTGGCGCCATTGTTGCCTAGGCGCTCCTACCCTCCTTTTACCAATCGGAAATGCGTTTGCTGATTGAGGAGAATAAACTACTTGTCTCGTTGGGTCCGAGTCTGTTGCTCTCAAAAGGTGTCCAGATAGTTTAACTCGTTTGTCCAAAAGAAGTTCGGAGAAAAGTTTCACTTCGTGCCCAGCTTTTTCGGAAGCCATTCTGAGTACAAATTCGTTGGTGTTTCTTCTGTTAACAAATGTGGGCTCTAGATTTAAAATAGATCTAAGCCCCCGAAGTTGAAACGCGCTAATCTTGTTTAGCATTGCCTGTGTCGAGTGCACGGTTTCAAGACCATAAATCAGTTTCAATATTTTTTTAATGCTAATATATATATATACAGTATTTGATGCAAATGCCCATCAATTGAGGGAATGCCGGTATGTCCATCGTCAGACACACCCAAGTATCACTTTGAAGTTTGGTAACATGAAAGGTAGTATCACGAATTTTCCGCCTTTGTGCCAATCTGTTTTCTTTGGTTTGGTTGCAACTCTGATTTTGGGTTGGAACATTGGAAGATACTATCAAGTACGATTCCATTCTGGTTGGTGCAGTATCCCCGTTATGGTCCTTGACCTATGTAGCAACCCCGAAATAGATAGAAAAGTCTACTGCTCACAGAATCGAGGTAATTCACAACTTCACAAATCAGAAATTGGCAATTCTTGAATTAACCTTCAACCATCCGTTTATTTACCAGTTTGCTATCGAAAACTGCCTATTTATCATTTATTGATCGAACATGATAAGTTGAATATATTTGAATGGTAGTTGGATGGTTTACCTACTAAGTACCGGTGATTTCCCGTGATTTTTCATGGCGCAATCTGCAACCCTTTGGGGCCCCGTTGTCAACGGAGAACCAGGACACCAGTCTTCTCGTTCAGCGTAAAGGGCGACCCCACGTAGTACATCCCCACCTAGGAACCCACGGACATAAAACGAGGGATTTCTATGGGAAGTTTCTAGAACATTTCTATCTTTAGTGGGGATTTCTATGGTTCCAACCACTCTCCCCACCAATATAATGGTAAAATTTCTAGGGATTTCTATCAGCACAATAAGTGTTTTTTAAGTGGTTTTGACCTCAACATGAAAAATCCCATGTTCTGAATGGCATCTGACAATGTCGGCGAGATAATTTGTTGTGCACAAAACATAAATGTGCCTGGGTCACACTTAGGTCAACAACAGCGTTTCAACAAATTCCGAAAACGTTTAGTTCGATCAGTAAATACATCACTATAATGGTAAATACCACGTACGTACATAGCCTCCGCTCTTCAAAACAGCTGGAAAATCGAGAGATCGAACCATTCATCCAGGTCGCACAAAGGAGTGAGCCCAACAAGGACCAGTAGGCAGGAAATTGCCACTTGACCTCGACCAAAATCACATCTTTTGACAGTTCAATACTGTTCAGTTACAATACCACCACCAGCCAGTCTGACTTGCAGTTTTCAGATTCGATTTGTATAATTTGTATATTTCAGTTACATCACCTTTTTGGTGATATTGAACATTGAACTTATGGAAATTGTTGTGGGGTCACTGGCAAGTCAAAGGGGTTGCCGTAGATGTTGTACAATGGGGTAGAATGTACTGTTGCATACGGCAATGGATCAAAACACTGGTTCGTTGTTTTTTTTGGCATCTCCCAGATCCGAGATCATAGATTTTGAAACACGTGTGCATCCAGTGCTTTAGATAATGTGTCAACCGGTAATGCACATATTGTTGTATGAACATGATGTATGTATGTGTGTATGTATGTATGTATGTATGTATGTATGTATGTATGTATGTATGCATGTATGCATGCATGCATGCATGAATGTATGTATATGTATGTATATGTATGTATATGTATGTATATGTATGTATATGTATGTATATGTATGTATATGTATGTATATGTATGTATATGTATATGTATGTATATGTATGTATATGTATGTATATGTATATATGTATGTATGTATGTATGTATATGTTATGTATATGTATGTATATGTATGTATATGTATGTATATGTATGTATGTATGTATGTTAATGTATGTATATGTATGTATGTATATATGTATGTATGTGTATGTATGTATGTATGTATGTATGTATGTATGTATGTATGTATTATGTATGTGTGTAATATCATTATTTTTAAATATGTAAATGATAACATACATTTTTGAAAAAATATATATTTATATATATATACATAATTACATGTTGAGTATATTTATATATCTAATATCTAGCCATTATACATCATAAATGGTACTGAATGGATCAAGAACGTCCTACTCAGGCTATCCAAACCCAGGAAGGTCGGCGACTCACTTGCGCACACAAGATTGACTCTCTTGTACACACAACCTTGAGGGGTGGGGTGGGGCTAGGGAAGAAGAGGGTAGGATCACCATAGGGACACAACCGCTACTAGACTTCCTTCACTTCCTTCGACTTACCATCACACTTCAACTTTCCGGAGAGGGACAGAAATCTACATGGAAAGCGAAACATCCTTGCCATCATGGATCTAAACATCACCATCATTGTCGTTCTCCTCATCACCATTATCATTCTTCATCTTCATCTTCGTCAAACGCATCCTCACCATCCTCACCATCATCATCAAATCATCAAATCATCAAATCATCAAATCATCAAATCATCATGACATGATCATGATCATGATCATGATCATCATCACCATCACCGTCACCGTCGTCACCGTCATCATCATAATCATCATCATCATCATCACCACCGCCATCATCACCATCATCACCATCATCGCCATCATCACCATCATCACCATCATCACCATCATCACCATCATCGCCATCATCACCATCATCGCCATCATCGCCATCATCATCATCATCATCATCATCATCATCATCACCATCAGCAGCAGCAGCCGCGTGCACAACTGAGTTGTTTATCTTACTCAAATTGCTTTTAGTGGCATTCAAAGGCAACTGGCTCAATGAGCTGTTCATAATCCCTAAATATCCCTATCCATAGGGCCTTGGCTGCTGATATCATGGTTGCTGGTTTCAACATGTGGCAGCCATCCCCTAGAATTCCTAGCCATTTGGACAACAACTCATCCCACAGACCGCATGACTCTGCCATGGCACATACAGAAAGACCTGCCGATCGATGTTGTTTGGATTGTACTGAGCCCCCCGGGTTCGCGCCATGTACCAGCAAGCCTCCCGGGGCGAAATGGAGCATCCTGGTTGCTCATTGGTAGGCACAAATTCTCAAGCTCTTGAAGAGAGAGCTCGGAGAATCTGCCAGGGTTTATATATGATCACTAATTTGCGCTGGATTTAGCAACCATGGGGTGCTGCAACTGCAATTGCAACCAATTGCCAATCTTTGCATCAACAATGCCCCCACCTGAGAAAATCTAAACAACCCTCCGCCGAAGTAGAGCCAATTCTCATCCAGCTTCATTTTTCGCGTGCGGGGAAAGCGGTAGGCTTTGGCAGCTGCGGAACTTTCCTCCATGGCGCCAAGCCTTTTGAGGTGTTCCTGCTTCAGTTTTTCATGGCTCAAAGGAACAAGATCTTGTTTGTGAAAATAACCCAATCCTGACCCATACAGTGTTGGTTTCTACAAGTTTTCCTGCTCTCGAAGCTATGGCTTGGAGGTGTATGTGACCACGTGGACGTGGTTGAAAATTCCATCTCAGGACTTTGTCTCAAATTGGGGAGGTACCCGTTTTTGGTCATCTTGAAATATGTACATCAGGAAGAACAACTACCCCTGGGAAATCTAACATACATAGCCATTGCTGTTTGGGAAATCACTGCGTTTGATAGAGAAATCCTCTGTTTTCAGGGGCCATCTTTTACTATAACTGAACCAATGCCAGAGGGTAACCCCTTGAACAAGGTGGCCAAAATCGACGACAACCTGGCTCAGTGGCAAAACCCTAGCGGAAAAAAATCGTTGGTAAAATCCTATAGTGCAATTGTTGTAAGCTGAACCTCGGAAAGCATCCTTTGTTTAGGGGAGACTTATAGTTGCATATGTTTCTGCAGCGCTAGTGAACATGACACTTTGCGCATTCCGAACGTACGCAGCATCAAAGCAATTTGATAGCCACCACAAAGGGTTCCCTCCGCCTATTGCTTATCGTAAGGTAGCTGGAAAATTGGTTGAATCAAAATCCCCTAAAATATGAATTCCCAAGACACCCATATGCAGGTTTCCTAAAATAGGGGGTACCCCTAAATCATCAATTTTAATGGGGTTTTCCATTATAAACAATCCATTTTGGATACAGTGAAACCACTGTTCAGGAACCTACTTTAAGAAGAACTTCTGGGCCTGGTTGCCGGATTCAACCCTTTCTGTCAGCTAATTGAAATAAGAAGGCTAGGGTACCCTGGAATTCTAGCCATAAGCTCTTATTGTTCTTATTCCCCTTTAATGGTACAAATATATCAAACATGATCAAAAATTGACTATTTCTTTTTAAGCCTGGTTGGGCGGATGCTTTTCTTCTTCCCCTTAGCATGAGCGGGAACATCCAACTCATGTACGGCAGGTAAAGAAAACTCAAGGAAAGCTGACGCTGAAATCATGCATGTTCCACATAGTGCAAGACGCCCTCTGGCAATTGATCTCCCAACCTCCCGCATGCTCGGCTGACGCTCTACCAAAAGAGCTATTGACTCTCTGGCCTTGGAGTCCGCCAACCTTTTATCTAACCTTTTGACCTATTTTTTCTACGGCTGCACAGCAACAAATCCCTTTCTGCATGTGTTGGCGCCTGTGCTTTTCAGCCCATGCTGCCTCTGTTTTGGATGGCTGCTCTGTTTTGGATTCGCTGCTTGCAGAGCTGTCTCTGGAGACCACAAAAGTCTAAATTGGCTAAGAATTTGCAAAACCTTCATCATATGAACCCCTTAAGAACTAACCCCTTGAGAACTTGAGGGTACCCTCGGTCATAATTTCCATATTTTCCACCTATAGCACTTGAGAACCCCAGGGTAGGCTGGAAAATTACTTGAGGCCGGGGGTAGATGACGAAAGCTAGCGGGGTAGGAGAAAGAAGGAAGGGAAGAGGTGAGTTGCGGAGGGACTGTCATCATCGTGTCGCGGCATTGTTCGTCCCAACGAGGATGCAACAATGATATATTGATATATGATATATAACAATGATATATATGGGGGAGGGGGCAGGGGGGGACACTTCCGCGGGAAAAATCACGTAATGTCCTGGGGAGCCCCGGAATACGTGCTAAAGCAAGAAGACTCTAGCGAGCTGACGCTAGCTTTCGTGATAATGACAATAATTTCCAATAATGATGAAATGTAATTGAATAACGATGATGATGATGATGATGATGATGATGATGATGATGATGAATGATGAATGATGAATGATGAATGACGAATGACGAATGACGAATGAGGAATGATGAATGATGAATGAATGATAAATGATGGATGATGAATGATGAATGACGAATGAGGAATGATGAATGATGAATGATGAATGATGAATGATGAATGATGAATGATGAATGATGAATGATGAATGATGATGATGATGATTATGATGATGATGATGATGATGATGATGATGATGATGATGACGAGGACGCGGACGAGGACGAGGACGAGGAAGAGGATGCTGACGATGATGATGACGATGATGATGACGATGATGATGACGATGATGATGATGATGGATAGATAGATAGATAGATAGATAGATAGATAGATAGATAGATAGATAGATAGATAGATAGATAGATAGATAGATAGATAGATAGATAGATAGATAGATAGATAGATAGATAGATAGATAGATAGATAGATAGATAGATAGATAGATAGATAGATAGATAGATAGATAGATAGATAGATAGATAGATAGATAGATAGATAGATAGATAGATAGATAGATAATGATGATGATGACGAGGATGCTGATGATGATGATGATGATGATGATGACGATGACGATGACGATGACGAGGACGATGACGAGGACGACGATGATGATGATGATGATGATGATGACGAGGACGCGGACGAGGACGAGGACGATGGAGAGGACGATGACGATGATGATGACGATGATGATGACGATGATGATGACGATGATGATGACGATGATGATGATGATGATGATGGTGGTGATGGTGGTGGTGGTGGTGGGGGAGGGGGGGGGCCCTTTCGCGTGAAAAATCACGTGATGTCCTTGAGCAGCCCCCCCAATACTTGCTAAAGCAAGAAGACTCCAGCTAGCTGACGCTAGCTTTCGTGATTAGTCGGTTCTTATCTAACGGTTCCGCCAAAAAAAAACATTTATGGAAACCCCCGTCATATGCACATTCGCTTGTGCTTTCTTCTCCATCCATTTTTCTGCCCTCAGTGGCAGCCCACTTTCTGATCCAAGTCTCCTTCACTCTCAGAACTCTCAGGCGCCTGGTGCACCATGCTGCCAGGGTGGCCAGAAAATCATGCTGGCAAAGTCATCAGGGTAGGTAAAAGAAATCGTGTTGTGATCATTCCATGTCATTTCTACATAAGTGCTAAGTAAATCATGTTTACCCCCGATCGGAGTGCAGAGTCGTTCATACACAATTGAAAACAAACAGGGAAAAGGAACCCCAGAATATGAGATTGGAAGACGTTTCCTGCTAGAAATTGCAATTTCGGGGTTTCCATGTTGGTTGAGGGTAGAAGGTGAAAGTAAGAAACACTAAGAAATGACCAAGCAAAATCCTCACAAATCATTTTGTGACCATGCTTGGGCTGTCGTGTCACCATTTCAAGGGCAAATCGTGATCTCAACTTCAGGGCTAGTGGCTAGAACCCCCCGACAATGACAATGGGTGATCAGTGATCAGCGATTGCCCCGCCAATGATGGGGGATTACAATTACAAGCAAAAATTCTGGTGACCATCTTATTATGTTTTTTTTGATGGTGTGCTAGATAAGGAGCCCATTCTGAGTCGGGCTTCTAAATTCCCACAACTCATTCTGTTTCTATGTTGGTATCCCAAATTGTGCCGACCTCTGTTGACTGATATTTTCCCCACAGATTCAAAAAAACTTGAAGTGAAGCAACAGCACAGCCTTTCAGTTTTCATGTGGCCAAGGGTCGAGATATGAAGAGCGGCCCTGTTTGAAAGTGGCCAGGGCCCCAAGGGGCATCTCAGAGTTGATACAATGGCCATAACTTGGAAAACAATCTCTTCATTAAAAAAAACAAGATACAACCCTGGGCTAGTACTCTCTATTTTAAAGACCACGATGGGGGTTATATAAAATTTTGTATATTAGAGTTGTGTTTCTTCTCCCCAAAAAACAAGTGTCAAAAACGCGGCCATTGGTCTCCGGCGCCTGCCAGCCCAAGTGTTCTGTCAAAGCCTTGCTGAACCAGCAACAAAGCCAGCAAAGAAGGCTAAAGACTGGGCAATCAACAAACAACATGTAATATTAAAGCCATGTGTATGATATATATATATATATTATGTATATATGTAGATGCTATATCAAATGATTGGACTATACTATATTATAATGTAACATAATGTAACTATATCTATTTTAACTATCTATATGTGATAGTATTGTCGTCCTAAATGATGAAACTATTTATACAGCACAACTGCTCCCTGTATGCGGCCCCCACATGTATGGATCTACCACAAAAGTAGTTGTTTCTCACACCTGCCCTTCTTGAACGAGAAAGGACATGTCTCTTTAAAAAAGCCAAGCTATGGAGATGGATATGTACTGATGTACTCATCAAACATGAAGATTTAGATTGATAGTAACATACTAAAATAATAAGATATTGTACTTTCTTCTATTGTACCCATTAAACAGTAAAATATTGAACACACAACAATCACTCAAGTGGTTTAGAGGAAAGCAGGAAACATGGCACACGCCATCCGATCGGACAACAGCCAACAGAAATGGACATTATCTAGTTTCACAGAAAACTAGATGATTTAGAACTATACTAAGCCTGAAATAGAAAGGAGAACTGGACACCTAGAGACTATTTTGTCAACATCTTCTATGACACCCTGAAAAAATGGATAAACTAACAAAAATAACGATCTTTTCGAGGACACCTATATATTCCATATGAATGTGACTGAAAATGGATACCACCCAAAAGAACTGTTTAATTAAATAAATGATCTAAGGGGAAAACACGATGATTAATCAGATAATATTGCGAAACCTTCTTGTCAGACAAACCAATATAACTATATTTATGTAATATTGTTGACTATATCATGTGTATCTGTATATCCCATTACATACCTACGATTACCCATTTATAGATGATTTCCCCATATACTTGCCATACCCAAATCATTCAAAACCCGGACAACGTCCATGCGTTGCAAACCAGATAGCCTCTGGTTATTCATCAGTTCGCTATGGACAATGGCTCATTAAAAGAGATTATTTATCATCATACGTACCGGTTAAAGAAACAAATGCTGGCGTTCCAGTTCGCTACGTTTTTCAGAACCAGAGGGCATATCCTCATCCGCCCATGATATCAGCATGAGCCCGCCTGCAGGTGAGCCTCTCCTGCGAAGATTTCCATGAAAAAAACATGATGCTCATCATCCTGTGTATGTATATATATAATGTATATGTAAAATATATATGTATATGTACGTATGATTATGTATGCTTATGTATGTATAAATCTTGAATGTTATTTGAAGAGTTGAACGTCATTTTGAACATGATTGAAACATGTTTGCTGTTTTTTTCATCCAATTCAGACCTGAGGGAATGAGTGACAACTATTGGTGCAAGTCATGAATTGTGAATCCAACCAGTGGCAAAAAATCAGGAAACACATGGGAACCCCAATGAGACTAGCTATGGTTGCTTCCTATACTAGGGGTTCTCATGGGACTTGTACTTAGACCCTCCAAGTAGCCATAAGAATGGTTCAAAGTCGTTGAACTACCGTTTTCTTGCAAAATCTCCATTGCCATGTTCCGTGGTTATAGCCCTTAACAGTTGTAACTGGTTTATAACCTCATTCAAATGATATACACATATATAACCTTACGCACAGACCCCGTGGTTTGCCCGGACTGCAACATTGAGGATTCCCTGTCGTCGAACATGAGAAGAGCAATTGCAGAACGTACTGCGTATACGCAGTGTTTCGGATTCAGAGTTTTCAGGGTTTTAGGGTTTAGGGTCTTAGGGTTTTAGGATTTTAGGGTTTGAGGGTTTTGGGTTCGTCGTCTGGTAAATACCAAAACACTGGCCCTGCGCAGGTTTTTGAGCATGTCGAAGGATAATATTTGAATTCCATTCTAACCTTGCGGGCACACCATAGGGTCTTGCCGTATGGTTCTCTGCGGTTATCTATGGTTATATTCCCCAGAAATCGTGGTTATCCATCTGGGTAAAGTATCGAAACTATAACGACCTCACTGGAATCATGGTTTTCATAAGGGCCATGTAAAAATAACTCTGAAGAGGGCCATAACTATCCAGAAAACTGCATGGTTAAAGCCACCATTTCCCCGCGCCACATCACCAGGATCACGGTCACGGTCCTTCCAACAAGCGAGCCCCGTGGTTGGCCAAGACGCTGTGGAGTGCATCAAGGCGACCCGAGATCTGTGACCTCAAGGACCCTGTTTCCAGAAAGGCTACGAGTCAAGTTTGAAGTTGGTTAACTAGAAAGTTCACTCCATTCAACCAGGTAGGAGCTAGACAATATACCATAATATACCCTCCAGTAAATTAACAGTTCGACCCTGGCAGTCATCGGGGTTGGAAGATTAGTTTCCATTAAAAAGTGGTGATGTTCAGGGTCGAACTGTTAATTTACTGGAGGGTAACTTATAACCCCGGTTAAGTTGGTTGACTGGTGCACTTCATTCAACAACCAATAGGTAGGAGGTAGACAATATACCCTCTGGCAATTTGTTACGTAGCTATTGAAAATGGCCATAGAAATAGTGGATGTACCCATGAAAAATTGTGATTTTCCATAGCTGTGTTAATTTACCGGAGGGTAACTTATAACCCCATTTATGGAATAATCATGAAGAATCTCAAAGGAATAACCAGTTTTCAAAACAATTTATAATTACTATCCGCCATAACTGCAAGATCAAAGAAATATGTGGGGAATCAACTGAACCAACAACAGTGGTTTAATATTTAACAAGTTAACATGGTTTATACCATTTATAACATGGTTTAACCAATGAATAGTGGATATTGGTTGATATGAACATATATTGGATATTGCAGGGTTACCCAAAGCATTTTGTTCATGGGGATATTTCATGGGATATATAATCAATATGATGTCTATAAATTATATACTATATATATACATAAAAACTAGTATACTCCCAATTAATGGCAAATGTTCAGACATATCCACATGGAAGGATATCCTAACGAACTAAACATGTTCAAAACCATGTGTTGTCTTCTTTGGATAGCCTATTTTCAAATAAGACCATATGATGAATTTCGGGCTGGTTCTCCCGGAGGCTACTTTTAAGGGGAAATCATAGAACCATATCTTTGAGAATATGATGGGGATATAAGGGTAATATTTCACCAATAATATTGGGATCCCCATCATATTCCCCAAAATATTGGGATAATGTTTGATGGTAATATTGGGATATATTGGGATATTCGCCCTTCAAACATAATTTGCAAAGAGGAGAGAGATGAAAATGATGAAAACAGCAAACGATGCAAACGTAAGTAGCAATCCATTGAAACAAAATGCGAATGAACCACAATGACGTTTGTCTGCGTGATTGCGTGAACTGCCTGATTGAAGGACCTTGATGCTTGATTTGTACTCAAGAACAGCAGCCTTGAGCCAGTGAGTTTTTCTTTTCAAAGCACAACGATTTCCTCAGTGATTTCCATGCAAAGATCGTGCTGCGGCTCTCTGTGTATGTTTGGCTCTCAGCATGTCACCTTCAGAACTACAATGGACAGCTAGCACTCACAAAATTCCTGGTGGTTTTGTGCACCCCCGCATGGATTAAATGCTATTTTTTCTTTTCGGGCATGTCCAAATATGTCCAAATAACTAATTATCTTCAGGAAGGAGTTGATCCAATCCACCGCGATGAGGTCGTATCCAACAAAAACTTTCTGGCCCTTTTGGTGTCCTTTTTGGAAAAGGAAGTGGCTGGTTCTGTAATTTATTACAATTACCCTATGGTAAATTAACAGTTCGACCCTGAACATCACCACTTTTTAATGGAAACTAATCTTCCAACCCTTATCTAGCAGGGTCTACGTTAATTTACTGGAGGGTATATTGTCTACCTCCTACCTATTAGTTGTTGGATGGAGTGAACTTTCCACTAGTCAACCAACCAATGCGAAAGGGACATTCATGCTGGCCACATCTCGCAGGAACACATCGCCCTCGCTGGCATAACATCCAACGACCAGCCCACGGCGGCCCACGGCGCCACGGCGCGCGCAGCGACGTTGTGGCGATGGACAGATCTGTACAACCCCGGAGGTTGTTTTGCTCCGGGTGCCCACTTTGATGAACCACTGGCATGGGAAAGCAGCTCTGAATTGTACGAAGATCTGAAGAATTCTGTCGTTGAAAGTTGAGATGGTCTGAAAATAGGAAGCCCCGAAATCTATCCAGTGGTGAATCATCATTTTCCCTCCCTCTGGTAAACGTTTACATAACTATGGAAAATCACCATGCTATCAATGGGTAAATCCACTATTTCGACTGGGCCATTTTCAATCGCTTTTTGTATGTTTACCGGAGTGTAAACATGGCTAAAGTCCATGCACAAATCATGTAAGTAAAAACGGCATCCGATCTGGTCACATTCCGGCCAGTGAGATCACCCCACCTATTGGGGTGGCATTTGCGACATTTGGACTCACCCCAAGAACTGAGGTTTAATGGATATGAATGGTGGTTCATTTTATGGTTATTGAGTTACCCTCCGGTAAACTAACATAGCTATGGGAAATGGCCCATTTATAGATGGTTTACCTATTAAAAATGGTGATTTTCCATGGCTATGTTAGTTTACCAGAGGGTATTTATTGTGATGTTTTAGAACATGTTTTATCCATAAGGCAGGCATTGAGAATTGTTGGTTACCCACAGATTTCCATGACATTGGATTCAACGATCTCAGCACAGTTTTGTTACTTGAGATACCAAGCCCTCGACACCAAAATCTCACTGCCAATTGCATCAGTTGTATTATATGCAATAGCGCCTATGTAGGCAAACTAAAAATTCTAAGCCTTCAAATATCAAATTGATCTTGTTTTACAGTCCCTTTTGATCGTTTTATGTTCAACTGCGAAGCCGGGTAAAGTCATCCACCAACGCAGCTTTAAAGAGCCCCAAGCTCCACTCACTTGTAATGAATTGTAAGGATAAGGATTGTTGTCTCCCATAGTGGCCCATAGTTACTCAATTTTCAGTCAGTCGACACTTCAGTTTTGAGGTTATTAAGCCCAGAACTAGCAGTTGGCCGGGCTCCAGCTCTACGCCAAGACCCATTCCGGTGGCACCCGAACCCCCGCAGCCGCAAGGGCGAAACTCCTCTCAGCGAAAACGGATGCACTGGCCTTGGGTCACGGGATGCTTAATGATGGGAACATATTTATGAGTTATATATTCTTCATTGGTGTTTAAATGTCTTTACGGGATCAACTATGACTAACTACCTATATAAATTTATTTCTATAAAACTATTAGTCAAATCATAGTTACCATACACATGTAATTATAATACATCTACAAGTGCATAAACATGTCTTCTGTCTGTCTATCTATCTATCTATCTTTCTATCTATCTATCTTTCTATCTATCTATCCTAATCAAATCCAATCCAATCCAATCGAATCCAATCTAATCTAATCTAATCTATCTATCTACGAGTATCTATCGTATCACCTTGTAAATGAAGCGCTAGCTACGAAGCTCAACGCTTCCCTGGCGACACTTGCTGAGAAGTCACGTACTGTTCAGCCGCGCGCCTTGGATTTTCGAGCTTCTGCTGAGGAACTTTGGGCCATTTTGAAATGGGATACCCTCTGTTCTTTTTCAACACCGCCAAGGAAAATCACTATTTTTAGCAGGTAAATCATCCTCAAATTTCCATAGTGAACTGCTGCATAACTCACCTACGATCCGCGGGGTGATCCTCCACGTATTCATTGATTCAGAAGTGTCCACGGGGGGAAGATAATCCCATTTAGTAAGTGGCTAGTAAATGGGCTTAGATCACTCACTTACAAATGTGATAACCTACTGAAGGGGGACTTAGTAACCAGGGTTATTAACCACCTATTAGCTGGGACGACCCTCAAAGAAACGTCAACCAACATTCAGCAACATATAGAAAAGTCATTTATCATCATGTCAGCATTGGATTTCACATTGTTCTAGCTGTTTGTGGCTACAGTGTACTGCGAAAACTCCCGGAAATCAAAACGCTGAGGTCTCAAGTTGCCAAGTCCTTGGGTGATGTTCCGTATTTTTCTTGAAGTAGAATTGGCCAGTAGAACTGCACAACTAATCCTCAATACTCCGCCAAACAAAAAGTCAAAAAAACAGTAATACATAGTTCATCAAAAATGGCACGTGATATTTTTTGTAACTAACCAGGTCCAAAATATTGTATTAAATGGTACCTGCAAAATATCCCATGTGTTCAACCAAGCAGCTCGTCCTGCTGATAAGCCCAATAAACGATCTCGGGGTCCTCCTGCGATGGATACGTTAAATTGCACATCATCATACATCATCCCATAAAAAGTTACATGATATTCCACTTTACTACACTACATTGCATTACATTACATGACATTTCACCAATTTACATTACATACATATATACATTGTGTGTATAAACATATGTCTGTTATTAAGCAATATACATAGCATTATAATGCATTATACATAGATTGATCCATAGAAATCGCCATCCCAAAGGAACCTTCTCTTGGAGGTCCACCTTTTTGGGACGTGCCACATGTTTTTTTTATAACTGGGTCAACCAAAGTGATCCTGTTTTGTACCAAGAAAATGACCCTAGTAGCCACTTTGAAATGGTCATAAATTGGCTTATGTATCATTCCATGAATGAGGTTAAACCTAACTTATGACCGGCAAAGGGCCATAACTATAGGATCACATATCCAATCCACATCTTGGGTGAGAACACATGCTATATTTGAACTGTGTCAACCAGATCTTTAGTAGGAAATTCTCCAATGTTGGGATCGTAAACTGTTGACTCAAAGTTACCAGGCTGATAGCGAGAAAAAAACAGATCCCAAACATGTTGCTAGTCACTTGAAACAGCATTCATAAAACATATTGGGAACGTTTGGGAACAATCAACCCTCCATTGTTCTGCCCAGTTTCTCTTGTTAACTGCGGGCCGGTTTTGCTTGGCAATCCCATGTTTTTCTTCTTTGCACCATAGGCCACGCCCACAGTTTCAAGTTAATTTGCAAGCTCATCAACAGTTTCCCTGGCGATAACCCAACTTGCCTATCCGACGAATTACGGGGCCCTTCCGGTCAAAGTCATACACCAAGACTCACCCTATAGATTTCATCTTATTTCCCAAGACATTCTGGGTCAAAGTTATATCGTTGCGGCTTAAATTCCAAGCCATGTCTGAGTTCATCCCGGGGCCAGGTTGCGGCTAGATTTCCTATGATTTTTTTTACATGTGGAATTTCCCAGCTTTTCTGGGTGAAATCCCAAGTTTTTATGGTGAAATTTATCTGGGTAAATTATATTAAATTATCATATTTCACTAACCTGAATAGTTCGGCCATGAATGGGGATGATTCCCCCAACTTTCACCATGATTCATGGGTCAAAATCCAGAACCTTTCACCACTTTGGAACTTCGCCCTCCTTGAGCTCATCGGCCACCTTGGATCGTCCCGTAAAAAAGGCGTGGAAAAAACATGGCCCTGGGCCCCAGTGATGGGCCCACACGTTGGTGTAGTTTCACCATGACTATGGGATACTATAGGTTTTTTAGATGGTATAAGAATCAAACACCTTAAATATTGTTTATTATTGATAATTATTTGACTTATGTTCACCAACTTCGCGATATCGTTTGGCCCCACTTTGGAATCATGGGCCACTGTGATAAAATGTGACAATAACCACCCAACATGAACCAACATGCTTTCAGTGTCTTTTTCAGTGGATGATCTGTGAGAGTTGGGAACAGGTCTGGCTCAAAAAAGGAGTACCAACGGACCACTGCATTGGTCGTAGTGGGCATCCAACTACAATCTCGGTCGCTTGGGGGACAACGTGAGAAATCCAGGACAAAACTAAATGGCACTACTTTCATGATGTTTTCAGCTAACCATTATTGACTACCAAACGGTATAGAACAATTGAGAAGTTTTTTTTTCTAGATGATAATGATGACCACAACCATGACGAGCATGAGCGCATGAATCTCATGACGATCACACCGCACCGCGCAACCAAGGTGGGGACAAATTGGAGAGCCTGTGGATCTTGCCTCAGTCAAGTTGCTGGCGATTCCATGTCATTGCCTGCTTTCCCTGAAAAAATCACGACACCTTAAGGTCTTGGAGAAAATCTGTGAAAGGCTGAGATTTGCGTCCTTTCGAAGATGTATATGACAGTATATGATGTATATGCCTAGAATCCAAAAATACCATCCTGCGTCAACAAATATGCCGCTTCATGCCGTTTCCATTTTTCGGGACCATCTTGGACCTTCAAATCATTTAACCAAAAGAACAGAACAGAATCACCATCCCCAGGTTATGGCCCGAAATACCAGTTTCAAGTCAGTTATAACACGGAACGTGTTATATATCCATATATCCATATATATATATATAAATCATATATTCCCATAAAAATGGAATGATACATCCCCATCTAAACAACAATAACCTTGTATAACTGGTATTTTTCAAGGGCCTTAACTGTCAGCATCTGCGGACACATCGGGGCAGGGTGCTTGATCGCCACCCGTGCAATATCTCGATCTCCTCGACACTTCTCAGAGGCGTGCCTTGTTTGCCATCCCACTTGTCCAGAGGAAACCCATCTTTTTTCCAGGGGAAGCCATGGTACCCTCTGGTAAACTAACATAACTATGGAAAATCACCATTTTCAATGGGTAAATCCACTATAAATGGCCATTTTCAATAGCTATGTTAGTTTACCAGAGGGTAAATTCCAGTAAGTCTAGGGCTTTCCTATGGTTGAAGATTTGCCCCAAGTCACCAGTGGTTGAACCAAAAAAAATTCTTGGTGGCTTGGGAGAATGATAAAACCTACTATTGAACAAACACAAAAACATGCAAACAACTATACACACCGCATATTCTTTGGATATAGAAATTTTATGAAATTTCTTGGTTCATTTGATTCAGAAATTTCGAGCAGAACCTACGAGGAATTTTTCAGAACTGAGATTTCAACATCACAAATTGAGGGATGGACGGTGTTCACCACCGACCAAACTAGGGAATTCCAACCAACAAACACGGCGATCATGTTAAGAAACCATCGAAAAGGGAGGCATTTAACATGACTTACCAAGAAACATATAAATATGAGGATACATCCTGCAAGTACAATCACCTCCAAATGTGGTGGGAAATGGTGGGAATATGGATCTAGGCGATGTTATTCAATCATTGATGGAAGCTATAAAACGGAATATCAACCCACAAAAGAAGGGGGGTACGACGTAATAGACCGGAGTTTCCAAGAATTGCTAGGAATCCCAAAGCCACTCAAGCTGGGATACATCGAATTTCCAGTAGATTGCAACTCCCCCCCCTCAAAGCTCGCTCTGCACAAAGGGATCCCAAATGACAGGGATGGTTTACTACCCCAAAATTACAAAACTCCCTGGAATTCAGGCCTTCAATTTTGGTTCTTACCAGTTTATCAACGTATTGCAGTAAACATTCGGAGCTGCACCCCCCCAAACTTCACTGGATCCTACTCTCAGCGTTAGCATGGAATACAAAGACGAAGCAGTTCAGAGTCTCTGAGTGTTGGTTTCAATGATTCCTGCCTTGTAGACCTAGCCAGGCCCAAACAACACACTGAATGGCCTACTGTAGTTGTAGTAGTTGTAAACCTAAATAGATCCGGATATTTCAATGCGTACCAACCACAAAATAGACAAATAGGAAAGCTGGACACCACGAAATTAGTTATGAGGTCAACGTCATCCGTTCATCCTTTCAGACATCTGTTTTGGGATTCGATGACAACCTTACAGGGGCGCCTCAAGTCACGCCAATTCTTCGTGACCATCCCCAAGACGAAGTCGCGGTTGTTCCAAGAAGCCTTGCCATGAAACAACAATATGGCCATATCGAGTAGGAAATCATATGAATTCATTGTATTAAGTTCGTTTCTACGTCTCAACTGCATTTCTTAGGGCAAATGACAATGGCAATCTCTCTCTCTCTCTATATATATATAATATAAATATTCTATATATATATATATATAATACTATGTATATAATACTATATATATATATATATATCATACTATATATATATGTAATACTATATATATTATACATACAATGTGAGGCCCCCCAGTTATAAGTTGGTTTATAAGCCCCAGTAACTATAGTTATAAGTACCATAAACCATAGTTATTGGAGTTATACACCAATTTAGATATCTTGGGGGCCTCACATTGTGTATATATATATATATATTACATATATTGATATTAATCTATCCATCCATCCATCCATACATACATATATACATATATATATATACATACTGTACATATATGGGTAATTGTGGCGATTAAGAAACATGGATCCAAAATACTGGCATCATCACCACAAACTGCTAAGAAAATAACCTGACAGACTAGCTGAAAATATATTGCACCTAAAAGAAAAACACACACATTAAATTGATATGTTACTCCGCCACTTTTTGGTACTTTACTCATTTGTGTGATTACCAAAAAGGGTGAAGATCAGCGTCAGGCAACCCATCCGTTCTCAGCATAGAAACAGTTAAAAGTACCCACCCCAATGAACCTGACAGAAATCTATAAGGACTCTACATGACTCTCCTATCATCTCTTAAAATATCCGTCCGACCCTCCAACCTTACATCATCACACATATACAAATTTGAGAAACAAACGTGACACCGAAAAATCTGTCCAACCATCAAAATGATCCAACGCATGGAAATCTAAAATACCCAGCAAAAAAACAATCATCTGGTTTGTATATATCATGGAGTTGATACACTATGGACATGTCCAAAGCAAACAATCTACGAGAATGGGAATATCTTTGAAAATCCCATATTCTATGTACCTCAGGATGACTACATAATTATTCCCATCAAAATGGTATTCGGAAACTGTATTGAACTAGCCATCCAGTTCGTTTATCAAAGTTCATCATGTCTTCAGGTGGTCAACCCTCCAATCCTTCAGGATAGCCCCCTTCTTGATGGATCAATGCTGTTGGAAATCCTTCCTGATCCTCCGAGGAACATCACCCATCTGAGCCGCTTTGAAACGTCCGAATATGCGGATATGTCTTGGTGAAGTCCTCGTTTTTCTGGGTGTATCCCCTGGAACCATCTCCATTTCCGTAAAACATCGCCATCCTTCGTTTTCCATAGAACATCCCCTTGGTTTCATAGTGAAATCAAGGGAACTCCCCATCTTTACCCTCTGGTAAACTAACAGTTCGCGATTGAAAGTGGCCATTTATAGTGAGGTTTCCCATGAAAAATGGTGATGTTCCATACAATGTGAGGCCCCCCAGTTATAACTTGGTTTATAAGCCCCAGTAACTATAGTTATAAGTACCTTAAACCATAGTATTGGAGTTATACACCAACTTAGATATCTTGGGGGCCTCACATTGTAGTTATGTAAACGTTTACCAGAGGGTAATGCTGAAAAATCCCCAATCCTCGCCTTCCCAGCATGTCGGATGGCCCTTGGATCCTGCTTGGCAGCAGCCAAGATCACCTCGTGGTCCTGCATCGCAGCTGGAGCTACACATATGATACACATATGATGCAGTGTTATATAGCAGTGTAGCTCTATCTCTCTATCTATCTATCTATCTGTCTATCTGTCTATCTATCTATCTGTCTATCTGTCTATCTGTCTATCTGTCTATCTGTCTATCTGTCTATCTGTCTACCTATATCTATCTATCTATCGATCGATCGATCTATCTATCTATCGATCAATCTATCTATCTGTCTATCTATGCACGTAGGATTTGTATCATATATGTGTGTATATATATAGAGTGAGAGAGAGACAGAAATATACAGAATATGGATTCAACTTATCTGATATGGGAAGTCATAGGCATATCAAACAACAAAGGACTGGGACACCAAGAATCTGGTTGATCTGTTGCACCCCAAGGTGGTACCCCAGTTCGTTGGCGAAGTTGAATTATCCAATAACTTGGGTTCATGGTAGATATATCGTTATTGTAGTTACCCTCTGGTAAACGTTAACAAAAAACGATGGAAAATCACCATTTGTCATGGGAAAACTTACAATTTTCATGGGAAAATTACAATTTTCATGGGAAAATCATCATTTTTCATGGGAAAACTCACTATTTCTATGGCCATTTTCAATAGCTTTTTGTAGGTTTACCAGGCCGGGTCATGGGGGTTTTCTAAACCCACCTCGGGGGAGCATCTCCGCCTGGTGTTTGCCAAAGTGGCGTAATTGACCTCCAAAAACAGACGTGGTAACATGATGGATGTTAATTATGGATTTAAAAAAAATGATTCTCATAGTTATACACATATATTCATATATTACATATATATATATATACATATGATTGTATTCATATATTACATATATATACATATGATTGTATATGTGTGCGTGTGTGTGTATAGATGGACAAAAAACATATGCTGGTTTGTCGACGTTAAAAAACTACCGGCCCATCCAGGCATTGCTTCGAGCAATCACCGGCCCATCCAAGGTAAGGCAGACGTCTGTAAACCATATTTTTGTCATCAACTGGGATCAATGATCCCACAGTGTGAGGCCTTTGAGTGATGTTTGTTGGTTAACAAAAGCCCCAGTACTATAGTTATAAGTACCATAAACCATAGTTATTGGAGTTATAAACCAACTTAGCTATTTTGGGGGCCTCACATTGCATAAATGATCCCAAATAATCCCATATGGTCCAAATGATCCCATATTAATCACAAACCATCACAAAGCAAAATTTGTCCCTAAATGATCCTAAATGGGCTATGCCCCAAACCAGGCATTGAATTATGGGACAAGTGAGGTTTGACGTGTCTTGACATCTCTAGCCTTGTCATGAAAACATAAAACCCCCTATGGTTTTGGCCCTGAACAGTTTTAAATAAGTAAGGTTATATAATTATATATATATAACTTAAATGAGGTCATAAGCCACTTAAACATCCTTTTCGGGCTTCCGAAAAGTCGATGGTTTTGCCCTCTTGTCCTCCCACAGGGTGTGCCAGGCGTGGCGGATGGCATCTCCTTTGATCTGTACCACCTGACCAACGAGGCGACGGACGGAATGTGGAAAATGAAAGGTGGTGCCCCAGAGGTTACGATAGGATCTATGGTAGATATATAATATATGATGTATGATATATGATATGGGTGCTGGATTTTATGGCAGATATATGATACATATATTGATACATGGCTTTGTCTGAAAATCGCGTAGCCCATTCCATCCATTATATTCCATTATCATATATTATCATATGCGATCATCATGTTCTAATTAAACATAAACCACTTGGGGATCTCTCCCAGTTTCAGGGTTCTAGCGATCATCATGTTCTAATTAAACATAAACCACTTGGGGATCTCTCCCAGTTTCAGGGTTCTAGATCATCCCTTTTCCGTGGGAATCACATGTGGTTCGATGTCCTTGGGGATTCCAAGAAGTCCATCGATGTCCATCATGTTGGATTGCCCCCTGCGATTTTTCGAAATACCCGGCCTGGTAAACCTACAAAAAGCTATTGAACATGGCCATTTATAGTGGATTTTGCCATTAAAAATGGTGAATTTCCATAGTTATGTTAATTTACCAGGGGGTAACTCCACTTGCTTACCTCTGCACGGTTTTAGATCTTGACCACCCCCATTCTATGGTCCAAAAAAGATGTGTCAATGCCCTACTAAACCATGGTTTCTGGGGTGTGCTGAATATTATGAATATTATGGGGAAGGGATTCGTTCACTCCCTCATTTCAGAAAATTAATCAATAATATTCATTAATCACTAGAGCCCCATGACTTAGTGGTTGAACCACAAAATGATCCAAGACCATCCCCTTAAAAATTGCGGGATCTCCACAGGTTTTAAACAAGACCGTTGATTACTCGTTTGATGGGAAATTGATCATCATTTAAAGGGAGTTTCAACCATCAAATATATCTGGAATAATTAATGGCTGAATCATGGTTGGTTGATGTTGTCTGTGTTTTCCTTACCCAATCATTATGCATCCCACAAACTGCCGGTTGTTTTTTTCACTTAGACCGTATTCAAACCGTATGGATATGAGTCAAACTGCCGGTTAGACCCCAAGAATTCCATTCGGTGACGAAATCGACGAAAGTCTGACAGGTCCTGGGTCTTACATTTTGACCCGTCAACACGTTTTGACCCAGATCGGATCTTGGACCGGACCTACTCCCGGCCTTCAGAATGAAGTCCCTGTCTGCTCGGAGCTCATCTGAAGCATACCTGGGCAACGACTGGAGGTCAGATGGGTCAAGCATAGCTGTGCTAAACACCGAAGTTATAGCCATCTTCCTGGGGAACATGATGATGGATGGAATAGGGTAGCCTAGTTGCAAAGTTGAATGTGTCTGATGTGTGTGTGGTGTTTTCCTGACATGCACATATTCTAGACAATCTCTATAGATGGATGGTAGCTCACAGCCTGGGAGCTTAAGCATCTCCAATACCTTGACTAAACACGGCTGGAACATCCCCCGTTTAGTCGGATGATTTGTCTATGAAAACGTCCTGAACTAGTTCGGAAATTTCCCACTCAGCCATGTTTGCTGAAGAGTAGCCCATATTTTATGTCAGGAGAATCATGTCCTTCCTGCATTGCTGGAGTTGCCATATTTTAGGCCCTTTTTGTGTGCCAAGGTGCTGTAGCATATTCTCGTCCTTTTGAATCAAGGAGAACCTGAAGGGGGCTGCAAAATCTGCAGGTGGACTGCAAGAGATGCAGCCGACATGAGTGGAAAAAGTCCGCATGGGAGAGAAGTTAAAACAACAAAAACTGAATAGCCACTTGCCATGTTTGTTTACTGACGGCATATATATATATTATATATATATATATATTATATATATATTATATATATATTATAATTATATAATATATCGTATCGATAACACTACGGGCACATGCGGGTACAATTGTTGAGTGAACTGATGAACCAAAAGTCATCTGCCGTCCTTCTGCAAACAGATCTCAGTTGCAAGGCAATGCAAGAGGAATGACGAAGTATTGTTGAACGAGCAACTTTCCTGAGACTCGTGAATTTGCTTTGTGGCTGAAAGAATACTACCTAGCAGTAAACAAACATGATAAACATGGCAATCGGATGTGTCACTGGACTCTTTAGGGATTCTCCGGGCCAGGGTTTCACCGGTTACACCAGTGGCTCTGTTGACACCAACTGGTGACTTGGGGACCCACAGCGGACTGGTCATCTATCTGATTGACCCATCACCAAAAAACACCATTCTTACGTTCCAATCGTCATCAGAACCGGAAAAATGTACAGTACATAATAACTAAGCCTCTCAGCTTATGCATATTTAATATGTGTATGTATGTATGTATATATATATATATCTTTACACATAGAGAGAGAGAGATAGTCATGTATTTACACACCTTATCTACTGTTGTTGGTTATATCTATCCATTGTTGTTGGTTACTTTTATATCCATTTCCCAGTAGAATCCATTGTTATTACATGTTATTACTAGTTATTGCTGGTTATTATTGTTTATGATTCATTATATCATTATATACACACATGTCTATATCACGTGTACAATGTGTATATATTTGTATATATATATATATTATATGACTTGTGACTAATCTACTGATATAAAAACTATATAAGTATATATAGCCTAGCCATTGTTGCTGGTTACCCTCTAATAACTAACAAAGCAAATTATGAAAAATCACGATTTTGAATAAGTAAATCAACGGTAAAACCTGTGAATGAGCCATTTTTCAATAGCTATGTTAAATTACCAGAAGGTATCCACATTTGTATCTTGAATAATTTCCCATGACGGATCCATGGTGCTGCTATATATGGTGTGCCATGGATCCCATCAATATACCCCAGTCATGTTGGCTTGCATATACCAGCACCATGGATCCGTCATGGGTTTTGGATCGCCAAGGCACATGTAGTCCTTGTCGCTACGCAACTTGTCGGAGGCATGGCCCAAGACGCGTGGGGTCTTCGCCATCAATGGCTCCAGGAATGAACGGTCGCGGCGTAGGGATTCCTTTCAATGATGCGGTGAATGAAATGTTGGAAGATTGGGGATTGACCCAAGAAAAAAATGGATTTCACCAACAAAAATATGGACTTAACTGTGACTTACCTGTGACTTCACCAACAAAATATGGATTTAACCAGTGACTTAACCAACAAAAATATGGGGATCTAACCACTCCAAAAATAGGGATTAAACCAACAAAACATGGATTGAACATACTAAAAACATGAGATTACCCTCCGCCAATCAATTGTGGCTGGCTTGGAATCAAGTTTGTTGTGTTTCACGAGGATTTGACAGCAACCCCCAAAGAAATAGAACATGAATATATTGGGTCAGATAGATTTTGGGGTCAAACAAGGGTGAAATCCCAATTCATGGATATTCATGGCATTGATGATTTTGCATGATTTTGCGGTAAACTAGTTTGCAAATCCTGGGGTGATTCATATGATCATCCCAATCATGTATGTCTTTTTGTTGCCTTTCATGAACAAGATAGAAGACAAACTGGTTGGTGGTTGACCTACCCCTCTGAAAAATATGAGTTCGTCAGTTGGGATGATGAAATTCCCAATATATGGAAATAAACAATGTTCCAAACTACCAACCAGCAAACTACTCCGCAGGGGTGTAATTGAATTACTCTACTGACTGATGCTCCCTCAACACTCAGCACATAGAAAAACTGATTTACTGGTCGATACTTTGTGAGGGGCCTCTTTTCCATCTGATGTCTTTAGCAACCAATGTGCAAATTGGATCTTGCAGAACTCGTACTCAGGTGACTTGTACCCAATAACTATCCCAACCATATCCATCAAATCAACCCAATCATATCCCCTGAGTCTCCCAATCATGATGCCAACAATTATCCAACATGTGTCTTAAACATGTGCCTAGAAATTAGACTCTTCTCAGATGAGTTTTTGAGCCACCAGATGCCATGAATGGACCTCTGATTTGATGATACCCTGCAAATGGCATGTGTTGTTTTTCCTTTGGGCTAGTAACGGCTAGTACATATCCTACTTCTGCAGGATTTAATGAATGCGATCAACCCGATACCAGACCTCTTCTTGGGGATGATTTCACACATCTATTGGATGTTCAATGGGACATCAGCGCACCAAGCTTAATTCCAGACTTGGCAGAACGTTTCGGTTGTAGCTCTTTTGCCTTGCTACATGACCTGCAGTTATGGCCCGAAATGCCAGTTATGCATGGGATGATACAAATAATTCCTGCAACTAAGGTGAAGAAATGGCACTTAAATTATAGTTATACATAGTTTTAAACCAGTTATAACTTGCCAACTGTAATAACTATACATAGCATAACATGTTTCATAGTTATAGCATTACAACTGTTATACATTACTGTTATACATTACTGTTATACATTACTGTTATACATTACTGTTATACATTACTGTTATACATTACTGTTATACATTACTGTTATACATTACTGTTATACATTACTGTTATACATTACTGTTATACATTACTGTTATACATTACTGTTATACATTACTGTTATACATTTATACATTACTGTTTTACAATACTGTTATACATTACTGTTATACATTACTGTTATACATTACTATTATACATTACTGTTATACATTACTGTTATACATTACTGTTATACACTGTTATACATTACTGTTATACACTACTGTTATACATTACTGTTATACATTACTGTTATACATTACTGTTATACGTTACTGTTATACGTTACTGTTATACATTACTGTTATACATTACTGTTATAACATGCTATAACTTGGTTTCACAATGGCGTGAACCGCAGGGCCGAGTCTCAGCCGCAAAGTCCAGGGCCGTCACGTGGCGTTGCACGGCACAGGCCACCAGGGTCTTGTCCGCCTTCCTTGGGAGATCGGTTAGGATCGGTGACTGGAAACAGTTTGGATCCTAAAATGGAGGTACGTTAGTACCATATTTTGGGCCATATTCCAGGGGGATATCCCCTGAAATTTAGCCCTAAAAAATAGGCCTTATATATGGTAGGTACCTCCATTTTAGGATCCTGAAATTCCCATTGATTGGATAGGAATCTGACTGGAAAATACCCTCTGGTTATTTAACGTAGCGAACTGGAGAATCACCATGCTATTAATAGGTAAATCATCAAAAAACATCTATAAATGATCTATAAATGGTCCATTTTCCATGGCTATGTTAAATAACCAGAGGGTAGTTTGAGAATAGAAATCTGGGATATCTGATATCTGGAATTTGATATAGATAAATAGATCGATAGATAGATATAGGTAGACAGATAAATAGATAGATAGATAGATAGATAGATAAATAGATAGATAGATAGATAGATAGATAGATCAAACTATGTATGTATTTATATGTAAATATATATATATGTAAATATTTATCTAAATATTCATGTAAATATCTGTATATATTCATGTATATAAATATAGATATAGATACATAGATATTTCAATATATAAGTATATATATATATTATAAGTTTTTTTTTATTATTTATATAAGTATATATATATAGATACGTGTATATATATATATATAAACAAACAGATATAATATATATATATAGAAATATTTAGATATTTTGAGATATATAGAACTATAAAGAAAAATATAGATATGTAGATACGTAGATATGGGATGCAACACTCAGGGTGGAAATATTAATCTTTATACTTATGCCGCTTTTTCAGGAACAGTTGGATGGAAATGCAAAGAAACCACATGGAGATGTCAACGCACAACATTGGAAATTGGTTTCTGCAAATGCTCCGTGTAATTTTCTTGGAAGTCTGTTTTCAAGCAGCAACTGTTGGGGCAAAACAACAGAAAACAATCACCAACCTGAAATGATGCGATCTGGGGCTGGGGAAACCCACTACAAACGATCAGTATCATCGAGGTGAGGCTGTCCATTCCTCGCATCGTTTGGGATGGAACATCAATGGAATGAACACTTCCGTCGTGGTTCCCTGCTGGTTCCTCAATCCCCCAAACGATGATCCATGTCTAATCCATGAATCAACACACACGCACATATTAATCACATATATATATAAATATGTAAATATATATATATATGTATGTAATATAATATATATATACACATAAAATACACATAACAATAACAATATATATATATGGGGGATTTGGGAAGTCCCATGCCATTCCAAATAGTTGTCCAAACCGAGGGCGAGATCCGAGATGCAACTCGTCGGAGGCATATTGCAAGGCTTCGCCCGAGGAAGACACAGCGGCCTTTAAGACGTCGCCTCAGCGTGAAGCCGAAGAGATAAGGCAGCCGAAGTGGGCCAAGAATGATCCATACCCATAGGATCCATGTATGGTATATATGCTAACATTTGGGGGTATATTGATGGGATCCATGTTACCATATATAGCATACATGGATCCTATGGGATATGTGCGGCTGTCAAAACTCCATGATCCATATGTTCATGAAATGGACATCAACATCATTTGGAAAGGTCCCATCGCTAAGCACAGATTCGTAGCAATTATTAACTATTGAACTCAAGATGGGGTATCGCTATTTGGAAAGGTCCCATCGCTACCCTCAGTTTTTTGCATTTCTGACAACCTATGTCCAGCCAATACATATCTTAGTATCCGTGAGTTTTGACGGTTGCTCATATGGAGGTTGATGTATCTGGAGGCCATTGAATGATCAAAAATTTGGGGCTTATCATGGTTTACCCTTATTTAAAAGTACTATGGCATTATTCCAGAATCTCCTAGATGAACGTGAGGTCATAAAAGCGGGAAACATGACCTTTTTTTGGAGTGCCGCGATGAAATTTTCGTCTGTCTGACCCAAGGAACCTCTAAAACATGACCGCGTTTCGATTAGCGCTGAAGATTTTAATCGTTTCAAATTGGTTTCAATCAGCCAGCAGCCATCATATTGTGAGCCTGGAAGAATGGGGATCATATGTTTCAATCCCTGGAAGAATGGAATTGTCAAGGGGATCATCCCAAACATGGCCACAACTATTTAACCAACAACCAGTTGTGTCATTTTGGGGACACCTTATATCAGATAATTAATCACCACCAAGATTGCTGGTTGAGCCCCTCCATTGTAAGACATATATTTTATGAATTGGTCATTCGGCAACATGTCTAGGGCATCTGACGGAGACTCACCAGAAACATTCATCGGTTTGACTACAAGAAAACATTTACCGCACATGGACATATCTGGAAATCATGGTTATCCTTGGGATAGGTTTTATCTTTATCTTGAAGTCAAAGTGGGATCCAGATGGGAGTTTCCTAAGGGCCACCCCAGTCGGGCCGCGCGAACTTCGGACGCTCTCCGGGGCATAGTGCAACCTGAAGGCTGCCGTGGTGCTGAAAACATGCTGCGGCTGGACCGCCAAACATAGAGCGGTCCTGCATTTTTTCCAGAAAATACGGACTATATCATGTTATATAGGAATTAATATGTAACAGAAATGCATGGTGTGGACATGATATTCTAACATGCTTAGGTCCAAGCATGACTGGATCTTGCTTTCGGAAACACCTGTTACCATGTTGGTATGTGCCACTTCATGCCGCTGCCCTGCTCTTCACATGTGTTGGTGCAACACAGGGTGCGTAACGTCCATCGACAAAATATTAAAATATATGGGTAAATCATAGTGAACCCCCAAAAACAACACAAAATCATGGTAAATCATTGGTAATCATGGATAAATCATGGTAAATCACCAAAACCAGCACAAAATCATGGGTAAATCATGGGTAATTCATGGTAAATCACCAAAACAACACAAAATCATGGATAAATCATGGTAAATCACCAAAACCAACACAAAATCATGGGTAAATCATGGGTAAATCATGGGTAATTCATGGTAAATCACCAAACCAACACAAAATCATGGATAAATCATGGTAAATCACCAAAAACAACACAAAATCATGGGTAAATCATGGTAAATCACCATGGGTAAATCATGGGTAAATCATGGAAATCAAATCATGGGTAAATCATGGGTAATTCATGGTAAATCACCAAAAACAACACAAAATCATGGGTAAATCATGCGTAAATCATGGCAAATCACCCAAAACAACACAAAATCATGGATCAATCATGGTAAATCACCAAAACCAACACAAAATCATGGGTAAATCATGGGTAAATCATGGGTAATTCATGGTAAATCACCCAAAACAACACAAAAATCATGGATGAATCATGGTAAATCACCAAAACCAACATAAAATCATGGGTAATTCATGGGTAAATCATGGATAAATCATGGTAAATCACCAAAAACAACACAAAATCATGGATAAATCATGGTAAATCACCATGGGTAAATCATGGGTAAATCATGGGTAAATCATGGGTAAATCATGGGTAAATCATGGTAAATCACCAAAAACAACACAAAATCATGGGTAAATCATGGTAAATCACCATGGGTAAATCATGGGTAAATCATGGGTAATTCATGGTAAATCACCAAAACCAACACAAAATCATGGGTAAATCATGGGTAAATCATGGCAAATCACCCAAAACAACACAAAATCATGGATCAATCATGGTAAATCACCAAAACCAACACAAAATCATGGGTAAATCATGGGTAATTCATGGTAAATCACCCAAAACAACACAAAAATCATGGATGAATCATGGTAAATCACCAAAACCAACATAAAATCATGGGTAAATCATGGATAAATCATGGTAAATCACCAAAAACAACACAAAATCATGGATAAATCATGGTAAATCACCATGGGTAAATCATGGGTAAATCATGGGTAAATCATGGGTAAATCATTGGTAAATCATGGGTAAATCATGGGTAAATCATGGTAAATCACCAAAAACAACACTTTAAAGCTACCTTAAAATCCAATGGCTTGTCTTCTTGTTCCCCAGTAAACTGGAACAAGCCCCTGATCCCATTTCATGTGGGTAAAACAATGCCATGTTTACCACAAAAATGACTGGGAATGGCAAACATACCATCTATCAAAATGGTGATGACTGGGGGATGGTTAGTTTATTATTGTGTTACCCACATTATAGCAAAATACAACGCTACAAGCTATCCCAGAATCTAAGCCTCTGCTACAAAACGTCTGCAAAAAACACCAGAGCCGTGTTTCACCAGGTGGCAACATGCCGTTTACATCCAAGACGGAGCGCACAAAGCGAGGGTTCCTGGGGTGTGCAAGCCAGGAATTTGCACTGGAACGTGGTGAGAAAGAGTTTATATTAACTGTCTATCATACATGAAACATAATTGATGGAACAAACACTGTTCGCTTGATACAGTAGTTATTGTCCACCAAATCAATACTTGGAGAAGGTAAATTTGAACACTATGTTCGTTTGATTTGTACTTATTCTTTTGGTAGTTTGGTTAATATAATCATCTATCATTCATCACGGATTAATGATTGATTGCGGGAGAAATATACATAACAAATTGGTCGCCTCAATATGGGAATGGAACATAGATTGTTCGCCCTCAAAAACGAAGACGTACTTAGCATGACTGTCACAATAACGCTAAAATGCGATTGACACCAACAACTAAAGATGCCAACATGTGAATCACTTCCTCATCATTCAAAAGTCTGGATGAAGGGTTTTCTACCTTCTCAATGGTATGTGCCTGTCTCAACCCTCCTCCCTGTATCAAAGGTGCTTTCTTTTTCCCCTCCTCAAAGGTCCTGGTTTCCCAGCCGTATTCCTGGAAAACTTTCCCATATTCGAAGGATTTCTCAGGGCCAAGTGTTTTCCCACAGTGAAGGGTCGCGCTCAAGGCTGCAAAAAAAAAAGAAAAAATCTAAAATCCCGGAGACAAACCCATACCCCGGGGAAGAACACTTGCCACCGAACATTGCAAATATGCATAAAACATGCTATGTGTTTTTCTCAATGGTATGTGCCCGTCTTAATTTTTTATTTTATTTTATCTTATTTTTTTCTCCCCGGGAGGTCCCGGAGAGGAACCCTTGGAATTTCTTCCCCCGGAGGTCCCGTAGAGGAACCCTTGAAACCCTTTTGCTCGTTTTTTTCTCTTCGTCGTCTTTCGTCGTCCGTCGTGTTTCAATGGGGATACTTGAGACAGACACTTGACCTGAGCAAGACCACAAACGAGAAAGTACCTTGGCGCAGACCTTCGAATCATGAGTTCAATGCACCTAAACTGATCTAAACAACATCAATCACCCGGACAACTCATCTCACGCTTCTTGCTACTCAAGATTGACTCAAGACCTGGGAAGAATAGAAAGAGTTGCATTACAGCACTCTGTGGCTTTCAGACCATCATTGATGGTACAAATTTCCGAGCAAACGATCAACTGATTGGCCAACGAACAGCACCAAGATGCACCAAGTTAGTGAACAGTGGTCAAGTTGGTCAAGTCCGAAGATGTTTACTGCTTACGCCCTCCGGTCATTTGTTGCACTTCGCGTCCTGGAGGCGACCCATTTAGCCCGATGATTTGCCCATGACAAATTTTAGTGTTTCTTTCCATGGCAAACTGAAGATCAAATACGCTTGGGATTCACCTCTCATTGGTTGGAGCAACCCTCATATTTACGTTTCTTGGTTTGTAACCCCCATAAACTTCAATATCGATAGGTGTATCAACATATCAAGCACAAACCCTGATAATTACTTTTTGTTAAAAAAAAAAAACATCAATCATCATCCAGTTTATGCATTATTCTTGGATCGTCTCAGCATTGATCTTACAAGTCCAAGGGTCTTCCACAAGGACTCGTCAGCAAACCTTTGGAACACAGTCAGGGCTGGGTCAAGTTCTTCGCTCTAGCCCAAAGTGGCACTTATCATGGAAGATCATGGTAATGAGTCAAAGCCCTGTACCCACTGGTGAACATCAAAATAGCTGGGAAGTGGAAGTTCATCCACCTAAGAATTGTATTGATAGGTATGCCATATCAGTATTGATGTTAAACTATGTTAAACCCCTGGAATCTAAATTGATTTGGTTTGAAGCCTCTCATTTTTGGCGTGTATCCCAACTATTCTTACTCAAGTCCGTATATTTATGGGTTAAGTCTCCGTTTGTTTGACTTGCAAGTTCCCATGTTTATGGCTTCAACTCGCACAGTCAACTGGCTCAAGCCCAGCCCTTGTTCTGAACTTGTTCTGGCCAAATTCCTTATTTTACGCACTGCAAGCCCTTCTGGGGATCAAAACAAATTATACCATGGATTGAGAGAATCAACATCCAGCTATACTGCCTATTTTGCTGTGAACAGAAGGGGATTCCATGATTTTTGGCCCTCGTAACTCGTGGTTATCACCCTGGTTAAGTTCCCGATTTGCGGCTTATCCCAGCAAATGGGTAATTAATCTACTTGGAAGTCTAGTTTATGAGTGAACTACCCTCTGGTAAACTAACATAGCTATGGAAAATCACCATTTTTGATGGGTAAATCCACTATAAATGGCAATTTTCCACCAGAGGGTATATCTTAGCCACTAGGGCTTATATCATATCCCAACTTCGTCACTGAGGCTTAACATACCATGGCCATGGCCCCTCGAAGTGGCCAGGTCCGCCAGGTCACTGCAAAGCGTCACCATCGTTCACAACGGCTGTGAGGACCAAATCGGGATCTGCCCTTCACGTGGCCCGTTGGTTTCACCGTTGAAACAACCCCAATTTATATGCAAAGGTCATCAGCAAATTCACCCAAAAAAACCCGTTTCTATGGTTGAGCAGCCGGAAATATTTGACGTTGTTTGAACCCCCCAACCAGCAACATATACGGAGACTTCCGAGCCTAGAAACCATGACATTTCTGACATGTCCACAGGTTTTTTCTTCCGAAAAGTGGAGATGGAAAATCATGGAAACCATATGAACCCATGGAGATCGAGCAGAAGATGTCCCCTCGGCTCATGGACCTTAAAAAACCATTCAGTTTTTACCAACCTAGCAGCCTCCTGCAGCCGAAGATCGCAACTTGTTTCCGAAACTCATGGATTTCCCATGGGCTATTTGTTTGGAAGGTAACCTCATGAAATTGAGATTCATATATTAACATCCCAAAAACGTACGAATTAACCATGACCATTAACCATATGATTTTTTGATTCAATCGTGGTCATCATTGAGGAATTACGAGTCACATCATTCCCGGGATGTTGGAACATCACACCAGCAGCTACACAGAATGCAACCGAGCCACATGGGGGAGTGATACGTTAACTGAAACCAACTTGAGATGAATAGTTGAAAAACATGTTTGGAAAATTCACACCATGGATGAATAATCTAAACTGTAGTAACACACTCTTTTCTATAATCATGAAAACACTAATATTCAGGTGAGAACATTTGATAAACATAGAGAGAATATCCCAATGATTACAATCACCAATCCACTGGCCTCACTTCTTCGCTGGCCAAACGGAGCAGTTGACCCTGAGGCAAATGTTGGAAACGGTCGCTGGAATTGTATGGGTAAAAATCTGCGAATGTGGTCCCCTCAAAATATAGCATATTTGTTGAACAGGAAAGATGATGATAAACAATGAAACTTGTTGATTGAATAGAAAAATATGATAAACTATGGGGCAGTTTTTTCAATCAAACCCATATCCAGTCGAGGACAGTCAGAAGCAAGGTCAATTTCGCTCTTCGCCTTCAAAAGAACTGAAATAAGGGAGTCTTGGAATTCTTGTCCTTACTACCAATCATATAGTGCTTCAAACCCATATTAAACAACAATATTTCATGGTTAATATATGCTAATATTATCATCATAGTCCCTAGTCAAACAGATTAGTCATGGTACATGTCAACATTTTTTCCATATGGCAGTGTGTCAAAACCTTGTACCCCTGGTGAACATCAAAATAGCTGGTAAATGGATGTTCATCCCACTAAAAATGGTATTAATAGGTATTGATCCATAGCCATATGGTTCCTATTAAAATGGCCATTGGCACACCCCTTTCTCCACTCCTCAACGCCGTGGTAACCAGGGCCTGTCGCCCTAAGACTTGCTTCATAAGGTCCTTGTCAAGGCGCCTTGCGGATCTGGAAAGTTCTGACAGTGTTAAATGGCAGAAATTACATAGTTATTTTTATGAAAAGGTAAAACAGAAACATGGTAAACCACGGTAAAACATAGCAATATATATAACTATAATTATATATATATAAATAATATTTAATATATGATATCGAGAAGATTCTCCAAAAACGCTTTTGTAATTTGAAAGTTTGCTAACATCAGCATTTGTCATAGCTAAATCATCCAATCCCATCGCGTCAGTATGGGGGCTTCCTGTCTCCGAACACGGCCAGGTGCCGGCCTAAAAAAAGACCTATCCTAAGGAGATGTTTGGATCCCAAGGGTTGTCATCATCAATTCCATTGTAGGTTGATGAGGATAGTGGAATAAATAATCTATACTGTATATATATTTTTTGAATCATGTTTTTGCAATCCAACAAAGAACTCTTGGAGAAACAGGATGCTACTCTATGGGTTTCATTGATCATCAGGTGATTGCTGTGGGTTGCACGAATCACTGCAAGGATGTCTTAGCAACAGCAGATGGATTTTTTTTCGCAAAACACCACCAAAGTATCAAAGTAATGACATTTTATGTGCACCCACAGTTGTCTATAGTCTATATCACTTATATCAGTTACCATCTGGTTATTTAACATAGGCATGGAAAATCACCATGCTATTAATAGGTAAGCCATCTATAAATGGGCCATGGCTTCCATGGCTATGTTAGTCATGACCGGATGGTATATCCTCCAAAATCCAATGAGCCCTTTTTTTTGGACCAAACTGTGAGCTGGGGATCTTGGGGTAGTGCGGTTGTGTGTATTTCTGGCAGGCCATCCGGTAAATCTCTTGCTGCTTCTTTAAATTCGCAAGTGGATAACTTTGGATTATTCAAAACTTGAAATTCACCAAAGTTGAAATGAAAATCCACTGCTGAATCATCATGTCCGATTAAAATGGTCATAAATGGGGTATTTCCAGACAGACATGAAAAAACATGTTTCAACTGGACTGCCTGGGATTTTCCATAATCCTGTAGACACACCAACTGTATGGCCCCAGCCAGGGCCCGAATACTGAGGAAAGAACCACGCATCATTTTTTCCTCGGTACAATGGTTAGGCGCCGACCATAGCTCTCTAAGAGACATTTCTAACGGTGAGATTGGTTCGAACTGTGTATGTATCACTATGTACATACATGTCTACGTACAAAGTGAATATTTACATCCAGGTACACATGTATGGAATATCATATGTTCAAATAGTCCTATACCTACATCACATGGAACTATATACACTTATATGCATAATATGTCTATGCACAAGCCCGTACCTATCTCTCTATATATATATACATACAGCATCATACAGTATATGCACAAACATAGACATCAGTTGCAATCTATTCCAGGAAAGGTCACTTCAATGCGGGTGTGTTTCCAAATATCCATGATATCACTTTTTGCTTGGTAGTTATCAGTTATTGGGATGAACACATAAGACCAATCAAAGCTTTCAGTGGCTGATGATTGTACCTCCATGTCCAATATTGGCTGTAGTTCCATTTTCGTTACTTATATACAACCAGTCTTGGCTCAGCAAATCATTGTGCATTGCAACCACACATATAAATTATTATATTCTATCAATCCAAACAAATAATCGGGGCATCCTCATCCTCATCGTCGTCATTTTCTTCTTCATCATCATCATACTCATCATCATCATCTTCTTCTTCTTCATCATATTCATTGTCATCATCATCTTCATCCACTGCAAGTAACGAACATAAAGCACTTGAAGCCACCAAGCAAGTCTGTGTTCGTGGGTTCACAACAAATTGGGTGGCCCCATTTGCACGTTGATACGTAATATCCCAAATGGGATGGACATTTTTTTTACTCATCCATGATGATATAGACTAGCAGATCAACATGGAAAATCCATGAAAATGCAGCATTTTTGATACCCTCCGCTAATCCAACATGGATATTTTTCTACAAGACCCCCATTTAGTTCGATGATGTCCGAGCCATACATGTGAAGAAAAAAAGCGGAGGCTATGTAGATTGTTTCCCAGTGAAACCGTTGCAGCTTTTTTTGTTCATATAATATATATATATATAATTATATATACCCTCCAGTAAATTAACATAGACCCTGGCAGTCATCGGGGTTGGAAGACTAGCTTCCACTATAATTTGGTGGTTTTCAGGGTCGATCTGTTAATTTACCAGGGGGTATTACTCTGTGATCCAAGAGTCGGAGCAACTCTGGCTGCGCAAGAATGCGGTCAGCGGTGGTCATGTTGCCTGTTTCTTTTCGAGCTCGGGCAGAAGACAGTATCAACCCTAAAAGTGGATGGATTAATGCTATAGAGATGGTAGAATTCAATCCTATAGCAATGGTGGTATATTGATGTGAATGACTATTCTCAAGACCCCATTCGCAAACAATTCATAACCCAAAAGATGAACAATGCATCCATTTGAAGATGTAATTGGTTTTTCCCTACGATATACTGAACTATACTGACCAACACCAGCTTTCTGGGTCACTTAGTAACACCGTCCACACCAATGTTCACCACGGTTCGGTAAAAGACAACAACTGCTACAACAACAACAACAACAGCAACAGCAACAACAGCAACATAATCGACATCCCTTGTTGCTGGTTGATAGGGCTTCCAAAAATGCGTCATACGCTCCCCTACAAACCCCTAAAGAATCGATTAGCACTGCTTTTGGCTGCTGCACATGTTCATATTTCCATATTTCGGCGCACCATAGAGAGACCAAACGCACAGAAACACGAAAGTTTCATGCTTTCTATTTTCGGTGATGTTTCTCTTGTTGGACAGTTACTGATCCCTTTAAGCACATCACTGGACCCTTCGCGAGCGGCAAATCTCACCTGCGGTGTAGCCTGACATCTTAAACTTCAAAGCACGACCGCCGCACTAAAAGACTGGAGCCAAATACAGCACCCCTGGAGCGCAGGAATCTTCTGCGCAGGTCAAATCGGAAATCGGAAATCCGGCCCGATTTTGGAGTAAATGTGATTCTATAGGGACGTGTAGAGTCTAGAGTAGGGTTATATCAGAAAGAGGTTGAACAAAGCCCCAGCCGGTTTTGCAGTGCAAGAATCTAATGCATCCAGTCACTGAGTCACTTGCCTTCATTGTTTCCGGGGTTTCTGGTTGGTCAAGTTCAAACTTGGAATTGACAAAATAGGCAGCAAAAATCTTGAAACAAAAGAAAGATATATGAGTTGGCCTCATTGAACAAGCCTTCAACCCCTTTGAACGTTGGGAGTGAACATCTCATTCAAAACAAACGCAATACAGGGGTGCATTCCTGCCATCACGAAATCTCAGGCTCTTTCCCTCGTCCCTGCGTTTTTTCCTTGGCAAATTATTTATCACAAGCCATAACTGGTTGGTGGTATACCTACCCCTCTGAAAAATATGACTTCGTCGTCAGTTGGGATTATGAAAGTCCCAACTGAATGGAGAAAAAAACATGTTCCAAACCACCAACCAGATAAAAATGTCATTTTTGGAAAATCCTTTCCACTTTTGGCGAGGTTGATATGTCCAGGCCCCGATCAAGCCCCGATGAACTCCCATGGAGCCAGGGATGCTGCCATTCTGCCGATTCGGCTTGGCGCGGCACTAACGGCTCCTCCATTTTTGCAAGTCTGGACGTAGTGGGGATACTAGTGGATCTAGTGGGAAAATGAAGGGAATATCACACACAATATTTCAACATGGGGAAATTCATGGCTTCGCCCAATCTTGCTTTTCATTCAGGCTGAAAAATCACCATTTGGATCAATGATGCTCCCATATAAAACCCCGGTTTTTAACGCATTTTCCCATATTTTCCCATGGTTTTCCGATGATTTCCCCCCATGGTCGCAGCGAAAAAATGGGGCACTTCCCACGATGTTTGTCCGACTCTGGGTAAAACCATGCCATGTTTACCACCCATGTCTGGGAATGGATGGGAATGGTTTATATACCACCTATAAACATGCTAATTCTTTTACCAAGACTTCAATAAATCTCCTTGAGTTCAGGCCCGAAATACCAGTTCTGTATGGTCATAAATTGGGATGATATTTCCCAACTGAATGGAAAGTCATTCAACATTCCATGGTTCCAGTCACCACCAACCAGTTTCCATTCACAGGGCACAAGTAAAGAGTTTGAGTCCTTCCTATCTTGGATTGAATGGTCACCTCCCTGAGCCAAAGGGCCACAATGGAGTTCCAGTCATGGCTCCAGAAAAAGTGTCTTTTTTGTTAAAACATGGGAGAGTTCTAGCCCTTCTAACCTTTCGTTTATACTAATTTATACTCTTTTATACTATTTTATACTAGTCTTTTTAAGATAGGTTTTTAAGACTCAACATTTGTCGCTTAAGATTCTAGTTCGACATCATGTGACCTGTGACCTGCGGTTTGTGACCAGCTTCGTCCTCGGGACAGGTCGCCTCTAGACCTCGACCAGCTCAACCAGTGGATGAGTCGAAGGGAAAATTTGAATCTGGGGTCTTTTCCCTATGAAAAAATTATAAAATATAGAGGGCTTCAACGAGAAGCCATGTTGTTTTCTCAGAAAATAAGGGAGTTTGAATCAGTGAACATTGTCTCGTTGGGGGTTTCAACCCTCTGAAAAATATGACTTCGTCAGTTGGGAGCATGAAATTCCCAATTCCCAATATATGGAAAGTCAGAAAGTTCCATGGTTCCAGTCACCACCAACCAGTTTCCATTCACAGGGCACAAGTAAAGAGTTTGAGTCCTTCCTATCCTTGGACAGAATTGTGTCAAGTCCCAGAGGCGACCTGTGAACTTATCACCCAAAACAGACCACAGAACTTCCACATGTTCCTGTGATTCAAATTCAAGGCAAAGGCAACCTGGTTGGTGGTTGACTAATCATCTTGAAAAATGATGGAGTTCGTCAATGGGAAGGTTGACATCCCATATATAAAATGGAAAATAAAATTCATATTTGAAACCACCAAGCAGCAACTATGGAACCGGTTCATTTTTTCTTCTTCCGGGTGTATGGCATTGTTTTTCATCTTCCAGGGGCAAAAAAAATGGGATGTCCCCGCTCTCCAAATGATCATAATCAGAGGGGTCGGATGACCTTTGGTAATAAATGGTATCACGTGCACGATCATGTTTTGTTCTTCACGCAAATATGTACTTGAGGATCTAACTCTCCAACTATCTATCTATCTATCTAGCTAGCTAGCTAGCTAGCTATCTATCTATCTATCCAACTAGCTAGACGTTTAAAATGTGTTTGCGCAGGTATAAGACTTCAAAACATCCCAGAATCTACCTGCGCAAGGAGGGATGCAATGCGGCCACATGCACAGCAAATGCACAGGTCGTGCATAACGAGCGTATTGTTTTGTTGTGTGAAACAACATGTACAATTGGCCTAATGTTAACATAGTCAACTAGTCACTACCTTTTGTTTTTTGGAATATCGTTTATTTTATCAATATTCTTATCATTGAGGATATATAATGACGTGGCATGCTGGACCACTGTCTTCCCATATGTTTAAAAAAATGGGCACACGGCACACAGATCCATGTCATATCAATGAAAGGATGACCATCTCTGAACAGATTAGTGGTTTGTTTCAAGTGTGCCCCGGCTTTATGGTCATTAAAACCATAATAGGCAGAATGATGTTCAACAATCTGGATAAAACACATGATGCACCAACCGAAAACTTAACTGCTATTTTGGGAAAGTTCCCTCTTACATTAACTATCGTGTTCACAAACGTTGTAACAAAAAGTCGTTATGCAATTTATTCAATTGTCTTATGATTTATTGGTTGTTGTTTGCCCATTAAACAACATCAAACAACATTAAACAACGAATAATATAGGTCGAATGCTCATATATAGGTCGTCGTGGTGGTTACTTGATGGCTAATCTCAAAGATGTTGTTTGACCAACCGTAGTCTCATTGCTGTCAACAACAAATGGGATTTTCAGAGTGTCCCGAGAAAAAAATAATCTGTTTTTTTGTTTTACAAATATGTATCACAGACTTTTGTCAGCATTTTTGCTGACTCAATCCACATTTGTGTTGGTGAAATCACCATTCAATCACCATGGTCAGCACTGAATCACCATGTTCGTTGGTAAAATCGCCATCAACATTTTTAAATCACCATTAGATCACAGTAAGTTGGTGAAATCATCATTGAGATTTTTGCAGATCACCAAAAAGTCCACAGTAAACCACCACTAAAACCATGAAATAAAAGTTAAATCACATGAAATCACCATAAACTACCTTTTTGTCATGGTTAAATCATGTCAAATCACCATAAATCACCGATTTTCGATGCTTCAATCGGACTCGAATCACCGTTTTCTCGTCCAAGACACGCTGTGTCCGCAGCTCCAGGCGGCACAGCCGCAGCTCCAGGCTGTGCTCGGCGAACGCCCTGACCGCGGCGCAGATCGATATGCAGTGAATATTCTACAGAGATATATATGTATGGATCAAACATCAAATTATATATATATATATATACATATATATATGCATATATATATATACATACATATATATATATATACATATATTATTTTTATTTATACTATACATATACATATATATATATATAAAGAATCATCTGGAAGTGTATATATACTATACTTTACATCCCTTTGGAGAAACAGCAACATAGACCTATATCAATGCATAAGCACACACCATCATACGACAGTTTTATGGAGACATGCCATGGGATATTGAATATAGTTGGTGGATAGCGGATAGCAATGCTGCCAAGAATATGGGAGGTTTTTCCAAGAATTGTACAATATGACCAACAAATGGATCAGTATTGTCAATGGTCATTCCAGGATCCTAAAATGGAGGTACTGTACCATATTTTGGGCCATATTCTGGGGGTATATCCCCTAAAAAATAGGCCTTATATATGGGATTGGTACCTCCAATTTGGGTTCCTGAAATGACCATTGATATTGTGTTTGAATCAAATTCACATATCCATATATATATATATATATATATCCCAAAAACTGGGTCAATGATCCTCAATGCTGACCTTGGGGATCTAGGCACAGCAAAAAATCAACCACATGACTGGCCATGTCTAGTGAAACATGAAGGCAACCCACAAATGGAAAGTAATATAGGTATGACCCCAGGAGACAGCTTTTAACCACAATAAACATGGGATTCGAAAATACGGGAGTGACAATGGAACACGGCTATAGCCAGTGATTATGTGGCAAACGCAAAAATAGACAGTCCGCAAGTTTCACTGAAATGGGGGGATATTAGACACTGCCAAATGGAAGCTTGACAAGCTAAGATGGGACTGTTCCAGAGAACATCAGGATATGCTTGGCAATAATAAGGAGATTTTGCCTGGGAGAACCGGCAAAATAGAGATAGAATCAGTTTCAACAAAAATAAGCAAAGAAAAACACCAAGGATGGGGATATCTCGCCAACGGGGGAGCTTCAGCAGCCAAAACAGGGATTAATGAACGAACAAACATGAGGATCTAATCAACGAAACGTGGGAAATGAGTTTGCCAAGAATCAAGAGGTTTGAGCAGAGAGATTAGAAGTACCTAGCAACCAGAAGGATAATTCAAAAAAGAAACCGAGGTGAAATTCCAACAACGAGAGGGTTGAGCAGCAAATATTCCAACATGTTCCTGGCAAGAACTAGCAACCACAGGGATCTATCCAACAAACACAGCGATCTCAACATTAAGCCAGCAACATATTGGGATGTGTAGCAAACATGTGTCAACAAGCAACCACAACCACAACCACAACTCCAGCATCTCCAACTACAACAGCAACAACAACGTTGGATCATCCCTAACATCACACATGTGGACAACATGTGGCTATTTACCAAGAAAAGTTGGGGTTTGTAAGAACTCTCACTATGTCTTCGCGCCAGACATTCCCGCCCGAAAAGTGGCGTGGCGTGGCGTCGCGGCCGAAAATTCGATCCATTTGGCCCACAAGATTTCCCCTCTGGTAAACTAACAGTTTGCGAACTGGAAAATCACCATTTGGACTAGGTAAATCAACTATTTCGACTGGGCCATTTTCAATAGCTACTTTGACATCACCAGAGGGGTTTTTGCGGGACATGCTCAAATCCCTGCGTAAGCTTTGAGTGGTATTTACTGTACTTTCCAAAACAACAAACCCTAAAGCCACCCAAAAAAACCTAAAACCCCAAAACCTAAATTTAAACCCTAATTCCTGAAAACTTAGTCAAAATCACTGCGTGATCCGCCAGTGTTTTCATCCTCTGGTTGTTTGAGTGTGGGCGAACCCGGGGGCCTCGGCAGGGTCTCCATGGGCATCAAGACATCATCGATTGAGAGACCCGGCCACCAGGTGAGGTGAACAACAGTAAGACACTGGTTAGAATGGTTAGAACACTCATAAATTCAATGGCCATTTCAGGAACCTAAATTGGAGGTACCTACCATATATAAGGCCTATTTTTTAGGCCTATGTAATATCCCCACAAAATATGGCCTAAAAATAAGATTTTCAACAGCTACAACTATGGTTACGTAATCTTACGTATCAACTTTTCACTCGAACTGCAACCCCCAAAACGACTTTCCATTTTTTGGTTGGAGTTTACCTAGATTGGATGCCACATGATGCCACCATTTGCTTCTCTCGATCAATGGTGCACTTTGAAGCCAAACAGCCACAGAAAAACCTGGAAATGTGAGACAGCTTGGTGCTTTCAACCCATTCCGCACGAGTCATACGGGGATTATCATTTCAAGGAATAGGAGAAACTGCTGGCTAGCAATGATTCTATGATATTCTATGTAAATGTTCATTTTTGGTTCCACCGTCTAACATTGCATTACACTCGCCCGAAGTAGCTGTCCACTTTTTGGTGTGCACCAATGTGAGAGACCTGCGCAATTTTACGCAAGTCACAAGGGGCGCAGAAATGGTTCTTTCGGCCGGATGGTACCCTAAACTCCTAAACACAATGGGGAAAGGTACCATGTGACCAGCTTTCTTTTTGATGAAAGCCATCAACCTGGGATGATTGACATTCCGACACCCAAGGTGGCACCATTTCTGCCAAGTTCCAGCTGGTGCTGGCTTTGTACAAGCAAAAAAAAAGAGACTCAAATCTATCTGACAGCGTGTCTCAACATGTGCGTTGTCGCATTCCAATGTTTTGAAACTACCGTAATTTCCAAGATCTTGTCACTTTTTGGTCAAACTAAAAACCGCTATTTCTCCTGGAGGATTCTCCTGCCCTGTTGGATTGGTGGTCATCAAGGGACAGGGTTGTGGCTATTGGTCAAAAGTCTGCATTGGAAAACGATCCACAAAAAGACACTGATTTTGGAATCAACTTGAAAACTAAGCATCAATGTTTGTGATGGGTACCTACTAGATATAGATGGATCCAAAGCCTACTGCCAGCTCCGGATCGACATGTGTCTCCAAGGGTGGTTTCAACTTGTGGGCCGTCCAGTGCTATCAGTTGCTGGAAAAATGTTTACTTCTCCAACTGGAGCAATGTACCCAGCTCACCCGCACTTAGCCTATGCTTCAATTTTCAACCAACTTAATGTGGTAAACTCTGTGATTGACACTTCCCAACTGGAAATTGAACAATTGTATTTGTGAATAACTTCCAAAACAATAAGTCCAACTAAAACATTAAGTCATTGGGCTTTGGGTTTGCCTTTAAATTTTAGGGTTGATCAAGCGCCGGTGTTTCACGCTCGGTGGCACCAGTCTCAGTACACCTGGGTGGGGTGGCATGAAGGTCACCATCCCACTCGGATAGAAAGTAGGTGAAGCAAACTATTGGGATATATATATATATATAAAGTGGATAACTATAATGTCATCTATCTGGGGTGGCATGAATAACTATAAAAGTTGAACACCAACCAGATATCCTTCATACTGTTGGGCGATCTCGCCAGATGGTTCAAGTAACATGTGCCAACAGATGAATGGTTTTAAAGTTGCCAGTTCAATTTTCACAAGCCGCCAGACCTAAGATTGGCCTGTTAAGTTCACAAATTCTCAGACGAATTTTAGCCGACACTAGTTGCAAGTGTTCAATGAAGGCGCAAAATATCAAACAATATATTGAACCTCCACAAACTTGAGGTTTCGGTGGGATGATGTGATATAGGCTATGGGTGGCTATGGGCATAACAGATTGAGTGCTTCTGAGAAAATCATGGCCACCTAGCGGTCGGAATTATAGTGGATATATCTACATTTAGCTGGGTGAACACAAACCATATTCATAGAGTACTATCTGGCAACCCCAACATTTTTGTTCACGTATCATACAATATATATATATATACTTGTATTTATATATATGTATAACTATATATATATATATACATTATAACGACCTCACTGCGACCTCACTGGAATGATGGCTAGATTGCGGGGAATCATCCTCAAATGACCTTATTTGAGGTGATTGGGCTCAAAGCCTGAAAGCCAAACATGATGACATTGAACACGACATGACTGTTTTGCGATTGTTTTTTGAGCTTGCAATTGATCTTCAGAATGCACGTGCGCAGTGGGAAACTGCCAGATCGAGATGTGAAGATGTTCAAGTTCATGCTCATGTAAGCAACCGTGGAGAGATTTTGGAATTTCTGCGCAGTTGGGTACCTGAATATGGCCTTTCATGGGAACAATGTGATATCCATGGGCTGATGCGTTTTCTTGGGGACCTGATCTGGCCCAATGCATTCATCAAATCAGGGGATTCTCAGGCCATCCTTGCCGAAGGGTGGGAGATGGAATGTGTGGAGAGCGCGATGCCAAACACTCTATATCAAAAGAAGACACAAGGCTTTCAGCGAGGACATTTGGGATTTGAAATGTACATGTGTATATATATATATATATACATATATAAATAAAAATATATAAATCTATAAATAATGATGTGTATGTATATATATATATATATAAATATTATGAATTATTCGTTTGAAAAAAAACAAAAAACACTCACTCAAACGCTGGGGCAGCGATTTTGTTTGCTTTCTTGGGGATCTTGAGCTGTGAAAAGGCGCCATCTGAGGTTAGTGAAATATATTTCAAATATAATATATATATATATGATAAAATATACGATAATTAATAAAGATAGTATATTAATATAATATAATATAATATAAAATAATATAATATAATATAATGTGTATATATATAATAATGTATATATATATAATATGTCTACATGTGTCCATCTTTTTGCGGGGTTTGGCAAGCATCTGCCGGGCCTCAAGCGTTTGCACCGGATGGACGTGGTTTCGGAAACCGCGCGGGAGGTTCACCTGCGCCAGGTCTCCCTACGAAGGTGTAGGTGGGTTAGAATCCCAGTGATTTTCATGGGAGCAGGGTTAAACCACGAAAAAAACAGGGGGTGAACTAACATGTGAACTAACATGTGAACTAACATGTGAACTAAGCCACTTGAGTGGGATGAACCAGCATAAAACATGTATGTCCAATCATTCTAACATGATTTACAACAAATATGGTTTGCTATGATGTATGCCCCCAACACCCCATATACAAGGAGGGAAACTGGGTAGATAAAGACGTCAAATCACTGGCTATCACTTACCTACAACGGATTAGATACTGTAAATCCTGATATGATGTTGCTCTTAGATAGATATACTTTAATGTGTATTCTATATATATATATGTATCCCAAATGGAAAATATAGGAATATATTGAATAGTGAAGACCGTTAGCTGATTTTTGCCCACCTTAGGTCAACCCGTCCCCATGGGGTCAATCTGAAGATCCAATCAATATCTACACATTACATTTTGGGAATACGTTATTTATTAGGTACCCTCTGGTAGACTAACATAGCTATGGAAAATCATAACTTTAATAGGTAAATCAACTATAGATGGGCAATTTTCAATAGCGATGTTAGAGTACCAGAGGATAAGTTGTCCCAAATTATGGATGCACATAGCATATTTATGCATACTTCAAGCGGCCCCGCATCAGAATTTATTAAGGGCAAAATCACCATGTTACAGTTTGTGGGAATCGTTTACCTATAAATTCACGGGAGGAACCCACAGCAATAACCATTATAAGCCATAATGACCACAATACCCAGAATGACCATGATATGTCATGATAATATCCCGAACTTGATAGGGATCTACTATGATATGTACTGCTTACTTGGAAACAAATATGAAAATACCATCATAAGCGTGATATACCTATAGTATCCTATATTGTAGTAAACCCAACAAAAAATAATCCAAGAAAAAAAACATAAATTAAATGGGTGTGATTCCAACCATTCCGAAGTGGTAGGTTTATGGCATTGGCTTTACCCCTGACACAAATGTGGAGCCTGGACGCCTCCCTGCGAAGCTGCCAATGGTTCTGCGGAAGCTGTGTCAAGAAAAATGCTGGGAAGATAAGGAGATATCATTGCATATGGATATTATGCATATTATCGTGGTGATGGTGGTCTATCATGGATATTCGCATTACTGCCCATAAATTATGAATTATAACCAGTATTTATACCATTACATATTTATTACCATCATATGGTAGGGTATCAAGTGGTTTCAAAGTCCGCATATCATAAAGCTATCCAAATGACTCATAGACATATATCATGGATATATATATATATATACACACCATCATTTACTTTTACCATTATCGGTGAATACCAGGGATTGCTCTCATTACATATATATGTATAGTTATAAATACCATATGCCAAGCCATGATATAATCCAGATATTAATGCATATATATATATAAATAAATGCAACTCATTGCACTTCTTAATGCTAATCCACCTCCAGCCCTTTTCCCATATCTACTCATGATAAGGGGACCCAAACATTGAGCGTTTGAACATGTATTTAGTATGATCGGAATGGGATTACCAGTGATTGCTTGGATGTGCACTAGTTGGTATCTCAATGGTCGTGACTGAAAGAGGCATATGTCATTTTGAGATGTTCCCCAAGTGGGTTTGAACCACTTGAACCGACCGGGATATGCACATGAAGAGAGTAAATAAATAAATAATCAAATAAATTACTTTACTTCGCGTGATCCCCACCATGACATTTATACATTTTCTTACTGGCAAATCTTCTGGCATTCTATCTGACATATCTTCTGGCATATCTTCTGGCATTCCATCTGGCATATCTTCTGGCATATCTTCTGGCATATCTTCTGGCATTCTATCTGGCAAATCTTCTGCCATTCTATCTGGCATATCTTCTGGCACTCTATCTGACATATCTTCTGGCATTCAATCTGGCATTCTATCTGGCATATCTATCTGGCATATCTTCTGGCATATCTTTCTGGCATTCTATCTGGCAAATCTTCTGGCATTCTATCTGGCATTCTATCTGGCATATCTTCTGGCATATTATCTGGCAAATCTTCTGGGATTCTATCTGGCATATCTTGTGGCGGTCTATCTGATATTTTATCTGGCATTCTATTTGGCATACCTTCTCGCATTCTATCTGGCATATCTTCTGGCATTCTATCTGGTATATCTTCTGGCATTCTATCAGGCATATCTTCTGGCATTCTATTTGGCATATCTCATGGAATTTTATCTGGCATATCTTCTGACATTCTATCTGGCGAGGAGAAACTAGAGGGGGAGGAGGAGGAGGACGAGGAGGACAGCTAGCCGAGGAGGAGGAGGAGGAGGAGAACAGCTCTGATAAAATCTAACAACCCTCACCTGGCAGGTGGGGAATAAGTAATTACCCTCCGGTTATGACTAACGTAGCTATAGAAAATCACCATTTTTAATAGGTAAACCATCTATAAATGGGCCATCTATACCATGGCTATGTTAGTCATAACCAGAGGGTAATTTGTGATGTACTGTGGAGAAACCTGTTTTTTTTCGGTAAATCGGAGACGATTTCGTCTATTTCTATTGGCCATGTTCATCCTTTTTCCACAGTTAAACAGTGTTTTTTTTCGGGGTTGTTTTCATATACCCAAATCACCATAGTGTATGTATATGTTTCTTTTGATTTACCCTTGGTTATGACTAACATAGCCATGGTATAGATGGCCCATCTATAGATGGTTTACCTATTAAAAATTGTGATTTTCTATAGCTACGTTAGTCATAACCGGAGGGTAATACCCTTAAATTTGTGAAGTTCGCCAACTCTGCGTCTTTTCCGTGCCTCGGCGACCCACAGCGACCTGGCGCAAGCGCCAAGTTGTGGTCTCATCCTATTGCCATGTATCATGTGTCATGGTTTGTGCGCTGACGATCTTTTCTCATCCCTATGGATCCAGTCGTACCTTCTTAGGAAGTGGGACTGGGGTATCATTTACTGTAATTTTGAGGCTCAAGTATGTACCTTCTCAGACAGTGGCCATGGATCCACAGGGATTTTGTTGTTGGAAAATTCCGTGGTCTGCTGGTTCTGTGTCATTTCTGTCTCAGATCGTCCAGGGATGAGCTCAATTTTTTTGTTTCCCTGCAACTCTTCAGTCAGTTGTCTGTCTTTTTGTTCCTCGCTGTTTTGTCGTTGTTTGCTTGCTCTTGTTTTTTTGGTGCTTGTTTGCCATTGCTTTGTCATGTTTCTTTGGAGGCTGGTTTGTCTGCTAAGTATTGGGAGCCAAAAGAAACTTAAAATGACATTTTACAATGACATCAGAACACTGGAACCAAACCCAACAACGAAAACATGACCAACAAAAACGTCAAAGATACATTCAGAAGTCTTGTTTCCATAACGGTTAGTTGAGATTCAGCAGACAACCCGAAAACCCCACCCGGAGCATTGGGACGTCGCGACGCCTGGGACTGCCTAAGAAGGACCTTCTTAGCGGAGGGAAACCAGGCACATTTTATTGAACTTGAATAATGGGGATAATCCGTTCAATTGAAATTCATTTTTTCTGAATCATACTTAAGTGTTTTTCAGATTCATTGAGATTCAATTGGAATTACCATGAATTACCTTCATTGATCTTATCCAATTCTACAATTCTTAGCTGCAAATGGTGTACGACGTTACCATATCATGAGATGCTCCGAGGCATCTCAGCTACAAGACGGACACCACTCTACAACTGCCGGGGCATCGATCACCTGAACGTCATGGCTTTGTCTGAAGATATGGTGTTCCCAGAAACAAAAAATGGTGTTTCCAGCTGTGGAAATCATATCTTGGCAACATATTCATACATATTCTCCATTCAGCTAGCCACGGACACGGACGGTCCTTCAAGGTGGTGGTCTCGCGTGCTGTCTAAACGACGGACCTTGAAGCCTTGATATACAATGTGAGGCCCCCAAGATAGCTAAGTTGGTTTATAACTCCAATAACTATGGTTTATGGTACTTATAACTATAGTTACTGGGGCTTATAACCAACTTATAACTGGGGGGGCTCACATTGTAGGATAGATCTACCATAGACCCAAAAGTTTAATTTGAATTCGAAAGGCAAAAATCGCCTTAACGACCTGTGGCACCACCTGAAAAAGAATGCTTTATAGAATCAAATCGTGGTAAGGATTGGTAAGGGAAATGATCCCAACAATACAACATCATCTAACATCATGTAACTACGTATAAAATTAGTATTATCCCCAAAATCATCCATGATTCAGGTTGAATGAACTGTTGATCCAACATAAATCAACTCAATCTCCAACTTTTCTTGTTTCAATCACATTGAAATATATTGAAATCCCATTCAAATCCCAGCTCCGCCGGCTCTGGACCTTCTCGAGGCGCCAAGGTCGGCTCAGGCACTTCCTGATGCAAAGATGTGGATTTTCACGGTGATTTTTCAGCAACAAGTCGGCGATGCTTCACCGAAAAAAATCTACAACAAATGGAATGTCAATGGGATGAACGAACCAAACATGGTGATAAACATGGTGATCAATACCAAAGAAACTGGTGATTCAATCAACAACCTTCCGGACCAAAGGGATTAAATACAAAAAAACAATATGAATCGGATTAGCCAGCAGGGATTAGATCCCAGACTTTAATCATGGAAATTAGAACTGAACCACCTGTGGATGGAACAAAAAACAACAACATTCAGAAACACTCAAATGTTCATGGGATTTTCCATGGTATTTAACCACCAAATTGGATGGTGGTTAAACATGGCGAGTTACTGGGTCTTGAAACCTATCACCATCCCTAAATCCCAGTTCCATAGGAATATCATGGGAATACAATGGCTTTTTTGTATGAAATAGCCTATGTTCATGGGAATATACTGGATCTAATGGAATATCCACACATGCGTGTGTATATATATATACACATGTAGATATGTATGTAATATATGGATCTTCACTAACATCAGGACATTGATATATATATATATATACATATATATATAGATAGATTGGATATAATGGGAACATCATGGGACTATTACCTAGCAGTATGATAATTTGGATGTGTCTGAAAATGCACACTGTGTACCACCACTGAATCACTGAATACAGCGGGGAAAATGAATCATTGCAGTAACGTTAGAAAAACTCTCCGAGTTGCTGCATGTTCAGAGAAACCCTCTGAGTTCAAACTTCGTGACTTCTTGGTGTTGGCTTACTTTCATTATATCATCAAATCCACAAAAAGAACCTGCTGCAAATTTCATCTCTCCGAAAGTTCCCCAAAACAATGCCCCAACAAAAACAAGAAAAAAAATCGGACCGATGTTGTCCCCGCCTTGCCCGAGAGTTGGTACAGCAACAAGGAGACCTCGGACAAGGCCGCGCAGCTGCTTCGGCTCTTGGTTTCCTCCAAGGCCTCACAGACAATCTGGGGTGGAAAGGGCATGTTTCAACCACAGCTAAGGTTAAACCATACAATATATTGATGTATAGGTAAATCATCCTACAATGAGAAAAAACATCATGATACACGGCTTAGAAATTGATACAACCAATCAAAATGAAAGTTTTTATTTCGTTGTTTTCGATCTGTATATGTAAAATATAAGCCTACTCACATTGCAATTTTCAGGGGAACGTACGGGCCAGGTGGTAGCACTTGTTGTAAAGGGGTCATGGACGGGTTATGGATGAAGCCAATCATGAGATGGAGGGAATAGATTTCATCAGCCAAGGGAACGTAAAAACACCCACGTTTCAATGTCTAATTGGTGGTTTCAACCCCTTGGAAACATGATGGAGTTCGTCAGTTGGGATGATGAAATTCCCAACTGAATGGACAGTCATAGAATTCCATGGTTCCAGTCACCACCAACCAGATGTGGTTTCTGTAGGCACTGCGAAAACGAGAAAATCATATCTGAAACATATCAAAATCATATCTGAAACAAATTGAAGAACCTCCGTCCTGGAGACTTCGGATGTTTTTATTTGTAGGGTGCAAATGGAATTCATAAAATCCCTCCCATCAACATCAAATGTCAATGAAGACCTGCTTAGTGGTTGATGCCGCTGACGCCCTGAAATAGACCGAGTCAGTTGGATGAAATGGAACCACCTATTATTTATTTGTGAGCCTTTAGAAAGTAATCCTCAATAGGGTAGAACAGGAAATCATCACTATTTGGATCACGATTTTGATAGGATTCCACTCTGCTATCCTTTTGGGGATGACTATGTATACAGGTGCAGCAATAAACAAAAGCGCGATTGGCATTGGAGTTGAGGGACGCAGCATCTGCGAACCGTGGCAAAATAAAAAAGTAGCATACCTCTTTTAGCTGGTTGGGCTAATGCATGTTAGTATACTTAACTATCCATCCAAAGTTTCTGCAGAATGCAGCAAACATGGACAAGTCCCAATCTATGGACAGGACTTGTTGTAAAGACTATATACATGGCAATCCGCTAGCGTAGCACCCAGTGTTATTGTCCAATGCACAGATTCTTCGGAGTAGTCATCATGATGTCCCTCGCGCCATACCATGATAGTCCATTAACACCAAGTTTATCCACTATTATCGTTGTAATTCATACGAGTACCCATCATCATTGATGGAATACATTGACTCTGATACCATATGATTCACAAAAAAAGATCTCTACTTTCCACAGCATTTCACAAATTCAAAAAAAAGTGAGCCTGGGCCTCGTTATGTTTCTTGGCTTATAAAAAGCCATTCAAATCAACTCTAAATCCCCATCTTCCATTGAGAAAAAAAGGGGATGGGGAACCCCCATGAATTTATCATTATTATGTTCCTATAGTTGGTTGTTCCGTTTTTATTGGGAAACGCCACCATATTTTTCTGTAACAGGACACCCTCTGGTAAACATACAAGAAGCGAACTGGAAAATCACCATGCTATCAATTGGTAAATCAACCATATATTTCTATGGCCATTTTCAATAGCGACGTAACAGTCATTACCAGAGAGTTTGTCTGAATTCCACCTCACCATCCCACGAGATCATACGACATCCTATCCCACCTCCCCAACAGCCACAGACATCTGTGCTGAGCGTAGGGGGACGCAAATCACCTCAACTGATCAGCGGTGGATTGAAAGCCTCCATGTTTTTTGAGAACCCTGAGAACGGTGTGCTTGAACTGAGACACTGATCACCACTCTGGAACACCAGATACCAAACCAGCTGAACATGAACAAAACACAAACACAGCATCAACTATTGCGTTCTTTGGCATCTGCACTGAAACTACAAGACTTGCTCCATGAGGCGTAAATCGAATCTAAAACCAGCATGTAAGGCAATATAAGGGAGATCCATCTTTGGCGTCAAATCCCCAGCTTTTGAACCCTTCCGTTTGGGTCTAATGTATATATATATAATAAACTATTGTATCATATTGTATCATGATGCTTTCACCCTATAGATGAACTGATAGACCCGTTAGGTGGATGATGGAGGGTGACAATTCCGGTGTTTGTACATCTTGTCAAAAACATATGTTTGACTCAGCTTGTTTTTGTAGATGAAGAATAGATTCATTCCTTTTCTTGGTGGTTCTAATCCAAGATTTTGGCTCTTGATATCCCTAATTCCGATGGTTTATCATGATTTCTCCCATTGAGATGTCCAGTTTCGTGCTATTTTTTCATCTTTTTTCCCCATGAAAATGGCCAGAAATTGGTGGTACATCCCGTGCTGGGCCACAAACGTCGCTCTGCACGGGGCTTCTGTGAGCCTCGCGCAGCACACGCAGTACCTGCGGTCAGCTATGGCTGTATATGAGCAGTGATTTGTCATTTAATGGGGGATGAACATGGATTAGCGGGAATTCAGGATCCTAAAATGGAGGTACTGTACCATATTTTGGGCCATATTTTGTGGGGATATTCCCTTACATAGGCCTATAACGGCCTTATAATGGGGGGTACCTTAGGTACCCTTTAGACCCCCCAGATTATTTTTTTATTAATCCATTAGACTTGCACATACATGCCAGAAATTAATCGAATATCTAATTTACATACTGGATCATTTTTGGTAGATACCTCAAAATCCATATATTCTATCACATGTTTACCTGGTCTCGTGTCTGCATAATTCTGCACATGCCTGCACAAGCCATGCTGTTCCAAGCTGATGCAAAAACAAGGTGACGGCGCCTCTAAGAGGCCGTGCGCGTACGTCATTTTTCCTGTCTCGTCTTTTACGGTTCGTTGGGGGGTGGGGGGGTGGGGTGGGGGGGTGGGGTGGGGGATGTTAACGTTCATGGGACTTGCACACTTACGTGATGCTACGCTACTGCACGTTCTCTTCAAGGTATACAACTACGTGATGCTACGTTGACTGGGGTGGGGGGGTGGGTGGGTGGGGGGGGGGGGATGTTAACGTTCATTGGACTTGCACACGTAGTGATGCTACGCTACTGCACGTTCTCTTCAAGGTATACAACTACGTGATGCTACGCTACTGCACGTTCTCTTCAAGGTATACAACTACGTGATGCTACGCTACTGCACGTTCTCTTCAAGGTATACAACTACGTGATGCTACGCTACTGCACGTTCTCTTCAAGTTATACAACTACGTGATGCTACGCTACTGCACGGTCCCTTCAAGGTATACAACTACGTGATGCTACGTTCACAAGCTCTTCTTTTGCACTTGCGCACTCTTGTCATGCTACGTTGCGGTCGCTGGGGGCTGTTGGGGGTGTGTTAGCAAGTTCTTTCTTTGATTTAAAGATATTTACCCAAGGTGTAGTTTTCTACATGCATCTAATGCTTAATTCCACACATATGTGTCACTTGAACATGGTTTCATTACAGGTTTCTCAGGTAAGTATGTTCATCATGCATTACGCAAATACCTTTGGCAGAAGAGTGCCGAAAAAAAAAGCACTTGAAACTTCAGGCGCGCCGGCAAAGAGTTAAAAAAGTGATGAAAATGCTGCGAGGGGTTCCAAAAACGCATGTCCTCGGTCAGCCTTACAGTGTTTTATTCTCTAGATTCATGATGGACTTCAATCAGAATGTGCAAAAACCTGGGGTTTTTGAAGCAATTGATTTCATCGGTGCAAATGCAATGAGCATAAAAACACGGCCTCTTACAGGCGCCGTCACCATGTTTTTGGCAATGTCCTTCATGTGGTCGGATCACCCTGGATGACGACACAGCCAAAAGAAACACACGCAAAATGTATTTGAAACATCTTGTATGAGAAATTCAGGAATAGTTCTCAGAAATTTAGAAATAGTTCTGAGAAATTGAGAAGTAGTCCTTGATTCTTTTTCATCAATAAAGATGCACAAGAAATAGCTCTCAACCGCTCTACTGGGGTTTCAGGGGTGTGTCTTGGACCTAGGTTACCCGCGATGCTTCCCCACCCCCAGGGTTGACCAAGTTGGGTTGGCTCAGATTGGCGGTGAGAAAATGTAAATAACAATTGGCAATCCACAACAGTGCCGAATAGGCCAAAACCTGGGCATTGCTTTGCTGAAGGAGCTGGTGTCAATTGGTACCTGGGCAGACTTTCCAAGCCTCCAGCCACCCATTTCACACAGCTACACTTGGGCAAGTCTGGTTTTTCCAACATTGACACACCCTGAGATTATGATACTTCTCAGAACGGTTTCAAACACAAAGAATAACTTGTCACTTGAGGCGAGGTGGGACTGCACCCTCACAAAGTAGATAAGTAGAATCCCGCGTGGGTCTGAGGGATGCCACAATCAGCTGAACTAAGTTTGGCAGGGAACGCACCCATAGGTACATAGATTGACATGACCCACAACTTAACTCAGAAAACAACGGTGATGATGATGGAGGGGTCATGGTGACGATGATGATGATGGCGATGATAATGGCGATGATGATGGTGATGGCTATGGAGATGATTATGGAGATGGTGATGATGATGATGATGATGATGATGATGATGCTGGTGGTGGTGGTGATGGTGGCAAAAATCATGCTGACGATGGTGACGATGATGATGTAACTATGTGTCCTGGTCAGTTTTTACTGTACAAAACAGTGAAATCTGTCCGACTGTGGTCGACTCAGTTGGGCTCATAACAAAGATGAAAATGAAGATGTTGTTGCTGCTACTGCTGATGATGTTGTTGCTGCTGTTGCTGCTGTTGATGATGATGATTAATTTCAGAAGAAGCAATCAAGAACGGCAGAAACGATTGGCAATTACTTCAGCCATACCGTTGGGAAATTGAGGAAGGATTCTGCAGAATTTTGCAATCACATCAAACATGTTGGCAATAGCCTTACATATGTAGAAATAACCCTGAGGAATTTTGAAATAACTCTGCATCTTTTTGGACATCATTCCATGTTTTGAAATCAGTCTACCAAATTTAGAAGCAGCCTTGACAGTTTTAGACAATGGTTGTCCATTTGTTTGACGTGGTAATGCATTTTTGGAAATGGTTCTGCAATATTTGAAAATAGTTCTGCAATATTTAGAAATAGTTCTGCAACATTTAGACATAGTTCTGCGGATTTGACAGGCACAGCAATTAAACAGGCTAAAGCAGGCTGTAAGATATGTATCCTAGTCTGAGTGGGGCACCGGCGCCGAGCCACTTTTCTCCTCAGAAACGTTCCGGGTGCCGCGCCGACAGAAACAACATATAATGACACCACAGTGACATCGTCCTATCTTTTCTCCTTATCATGTCCAATCCCCGACTTTCCCCAAGGCAATGCAGCTCGCTCACAGTATAACTCAGTGTAACACCGTACAACTGATTTCATCCCCACCCCTGGTGCCTTGCATTGGGTCCGGTACTCAATGGTTGGGTTGAACAGCTCAACAAGTGGCCATCCCAAGTGGCACAGCGGATCCATGAGACTCACTTGCAAAAAACTGGGGTCACATGGCACCATGCAATTCACACAAACATCAAATAGACATCAACATCATCACCACCCAGTCATACCTAGTCCACTTTGGCCCCGTGCCGTCATGCAGACCGGGTTTCCAAGCCTCAGCTTGTGTTTCAAAAGCGTCCGTCACCCCTACGGCCGTGAATTGGTTCCCAGATCGAGCCATTCCCACAATTTGTGGCATGGTGTGGACAACATCCGACATTCATCGACATTCGAAATGCGCATGGCCAAGAATCTCACGACACTGCCTGAAACACATAGGCTGGGCATTGATCACACAATTTGACAGTCGGCTTAACCCTCATCAAATTGTTGCACCAAGCGGCAAAGCCACAAAAGCAGAAATGACGGACTCCGCGCGTGGCTTCATGCCCTTTGTGTTTCATCGGCAGTTTGCGCTGGTGCTTCCTCTGTTGTCACTATGTGTACTGTGATCATCCAGAATCAAACTCAACGTGTTCATCAAGAACCGTTATGATTTGAGCCCGCATGCGCAACCTGGGCTTGAGTGGAATTGAGGAACTGCTGCATCGAAGTGGCTTTGTTGAATCTGACCCCCAGACCATGCCTGGATTATTTGAATGCCCACCTCACCATGCCATGGAACTGCCAATCATTGCAGCATATTGCAACATATTGCAGCATTCTGCAACAAAGCAAGAACAGTTTTCTCTCACCTTCTTCCAGCCAAGTGCAAAATAGTGCAAAACTGCCACTTCAGCACCACTTCAGCACCATTCAACACCTCCAAGCTGCTGTCCTGGCTTTCAAGCCTTCCTCCCTGTCTCCTCATGCTTGTGGGCCACATGCAACATCCTGCAACCTGTTGAAATTAATCCAAGGGTCTCTGACCCCCAGACCACCCCTGGATTATTTGAATGCCCACCTCACCATGCCATGGAACTGCAAATCATTGCAGCATGTTGCAGCATTCTGCACCAAAGCAAGAACAGCAGCACCATTTCAGCACCATTCAACACTTTCAAGCTCCTGTCCTGGCTTTCAAAGCCTTTCCTCCTGTCTCCTCATGCTTGTGGACCACATGCAACATCCTGCACCCTGTTGAAATTAATCCAATGGTCTCTGGCCCCCAGGCAACCCCTGGATTATTTGAATGCCCACCTCACCATGCCATGGAACTGCAAATCATTGCAGCATGTTGCAGCATTCTGCACCAAAGCAAGAACAGCAGCACCATTTCAGCACAATTCAACACTTTCAAGCTCCTGTCCTGGCTTTCAAAGCCTTTCCTCCTGTCTCCTCATGCTTGTGGACCACATGCAACATCCTGCAACCTGTGGAAATTAATGCAATGGTCTCTGGCCCCCAGGCAGCCCCTGGATTATTTGAATGCCCACCTCACCATGCCATGGAACTGCCAATCATTGCAGCATGTTGCAGCATATTGCAGAATTCTGCACCAAAGCAAGAACAGTTTTCTCTCACCCTCCTCCAGCCAAGTGCAAAATAGTGCAAAACTATGCAAAACTGCCAGTTCAGCACCACTTCAGCACCATTCACGACCTCCAAGCTGCTGTCCTGGCTTTCAAGCCTTTCCTCCTGTCTCCTCATGCTTGTGGACCACATGCAACACCCTGCAACCTGTGGAAATTAATCCAATGGTCTCTGACCCCCAGACCATGCCTGGATTATTTGAATGCCCACCTCACCATGCCATGGAACTGCCAATCATTGCAGCATATTGCAACATATTGCAGCATTCTGCAACAAAGCAAGAACAGTTTTCTCTCACCTTCTTCCAGCCAAGTGCAAAATAGTGCAAAACTGCCACTTCAGCACCACTTCAGCACCATTCAACACCTCCAAGCTGCTGTCCTGGCTTTCAAGCCTTCCTCCCTGTCTCCTCATGCTTGTGGGCCACATGCAACATCCTGCAACCTGTTGAAATTAATCCAAGGGTCTCTGACCCCCAGACCACCCCTGGATTATTTGAATGCCCACCTCACCATGCCATGGAACTGCAAATCATTGCAGCATGTTGCAGCATTCTGCACCAAAGCAAGAACAGCAGCACCATTTCAGCACCATTCAACACTTTCAAGCTCCTGTCCTGGCTTTCAAAGCCTTTCCTCCTGTCCCCTCATGCTTGTGGACCACATGCAACATCCTGCACCCTGTTGAAATTAATCCAATGGTCTCTGGCCCCCAGGCAACCCCTGGATTATTTGAATGCCCACCTCACCATGCCATGGAACTGCAAATCATTGCAGCATGTTGCAGCATTCTGCACCAAAGCAAGAACAGCAGCACCATTTCAGCACCATTCAACACTTTCAAGCTCCTGTCCTGGCTTTCAAAGCCTTTCCTCCTGTCTCCTCATGCTTGTGGACCACATGCAACATCCTGCAACCTGTGGAAATTAATCCAATGGTCTCTGGCCCCCAGGCAACCCCTGGATTATTTGAATGCCCACCTCACCATGCCATGGAACTGCCAATCATTGCAGCATATTGCAGCATATTGCAGAATTCTGCACCAAAGCAAGAACAGTTTTCTCTCACCCTCCTCCAGCCAAGTGCAAAATAGTGCAAAACTATGCAAAACTGCCAGTTCAGCACCACTTCAGCACCATTCACGACCTCCAAGCTGCTGTCCTGGCTTTCAAGCCTTTCCTCCTGTCTCCTCATGCTTGTGGACCACATGCAACACCCTGCAACCTGTGGAAATTAATCCAATGGTCTCTGACCCCCAGACCATGCCTGGATTATTTGAATGCCCACCTCACCATGCCATGGAACTGCCAATCATTGCAGCATATTGCAACATATTGCAGCATTCTGCAACAAAGCAAGAACAGTTTTCTCTCACCTTCTTCCAGCCAAGTGCAAAATAGTGCAAAGCTGCCACTTCAGCACCACTTCAGCACCATTCAACACCTCCAAGCTGCTGTCCTGGCTTTCAAGCCTTCCTCCCTGTCTCCTCATGCTTGTGGGCCACATGCAACATCCTGCAACCTGTTGAAATTAATCCAAGGGTCTCTGACCCCCAGACCACCCCTGGATTATTTGAATGCCCACCTCACCATGCCATGGAACTGCAAATCATTGCAGCATGTTGCAGCATTCTGCACCAAAGCAAGAACAGCAGCACCATTTCAGCACCATTCAACACTTTCAAGATCCTGTCCTGGCTTTCAAAGCCTTTCCTCCTGTCTCCTCATGCTTGTGGACCACATGCAACATCCTGCAACCTGTGGAGATTAATCCAATGGTCTCTGGCC